GTGTGCCAAGCTTGTGGGATCATATTCAAAAATACTTGTGGCTGTAATTGCTGCCAAAGGTGCATCAACAAAGTATTGAGCAACTGTGAATACTGATGTACAATAATAAATAAATTTAATCCATTTTGGAATTAGGCTGTAACAAAAAAAAAAAGTGGAAAAAGTGAAGTGCTATGAATACTATCCAGATGCACTGTATGGCTGTTCTACACATTATCATCCTCTGGATAATGCTTTGTCAGATTGTGCTGGTCTTCAGAAGCAATTTACAACTTGGTCTTGATGATGAATTTCCTCCAGAAATGACAGCAACTCTTTGTTTACAAGTCTGTGGGTGTTTGAGTTGTTGCTGTCATCTGATGTGCACTTGACAGGACGGAATGTGTTTATTTTGAAAAAAAAAAGGAATAAGGATTGCATTAAATATTGTTCTGTTGTATTGTCTGCAATAAAATACAAGTCAAAGTAAATTTAGAAATCTTTTTTTTTTTTTTTTTTTTTTTTTGAGCCAGGCAATCGATAATATTCACCTATGGTCTTTTGGATAATTAGCTGTAAATTTGAACCACACGTGGCTTAGTCTTACTCAACTCCACACTAAAAAGAAGTTAATTTAATTTACTTTAGGAAACCAATGCAACAACACAATGGAACTGTTAAGTCAGTATAATGTGTTGTATATTTTGTATTTCTTCCCTGGCTTTATAGGACCTTCAGAACAATATAATGAAATACTTGAATTACGAACTGGAAAAGTTTAAGAAAATATTACAAAACAAACAAAGAGATTGCTTTGTAAAAGACTTCAATGAGAATAGTAGCAGGATCAGAGTTGCGGCTCTTGATCTCACACTCTACTTCCTGAGAGAAATGAAGCAAGATAAAGTTGCTGATTCTCTAGAAGGTAAAATACTCTTTAAAATCTGTTGTTGACAGTTACAAATAAATTAGCACTAAAATCCATCTTTTTATTTCTTTAGAAGAGCTCTTTTTCATTCATAAGCTAAAACGTGGCCTAGAGAAAAAGGTATCAGTGTGTGTTTGAAGGAATTGCACAGCAAGGAGACTCCACACTCCTGAAGAACATCTACACAGATCTCTATATCACTCAGGGTGGCAGTGAACAGGTCAATACTGAACATGAGGTCAGACGGATTGAAGTTGCTCTTCAAATATGTAAATATACTTATTTTTAAAATACAATTTTTTAATATATAATTTTCTTTGGAAAATTTGTTAAAACTTGATTTAAATTAAAAACTGAAGTCTATAGGCAAATAACAAACTGGCCAGCACATTCAGCCTTCCTCAGTGAGAATTTAGCCATTTGAATAATAAGATAAATTCAAACATAATAATAATAATCCAACTCTTTCAAACCCCCTGACCCCCCTTGGCTATGCACATAACTATTTAATTTAACTTAATAAATTGTAAGAAGAGAGGATTACTTAATAATACATTTTATTAGCAGTTAAATAATAAATAGCAATATATATATATATATATATATATATATATATATATATATATATATATATATATATATATATATATATATATATATATATATATATATATATTCTTGGCGGGGGTGTGGGGGGGTTTGTATGCACCCGTCCCCAGTCCCCACCAATGTCAAGCGCAAACCTACGCCCTTGGTATATCCAGATTAAAATGATCGCTATTGCCGTTTCCACAGACATCAGATTGCATTTTACAAACTACCAATAGTTGTTTTTTCTAGTAGGTTATGATTTAAAGCACTGAAAGTTTCCGTGTGCATCTTTTTTTCTGGCTCAGTCAACCATCGCTGGAAATTTGGCAGCAGAGCAAACACCACGGCTGAATTACTAATAAAACTCAGTGAGAGTATGTTGTATGTGCTAAATTGAGATATATAACAATGTTCTCTGAGTCATGTAGATTTTTTTTTAATGTAGGCTATAAGTTATATTTTCATCTAGTGTTGTTTTTCAATCGCTTTCGTTTTCTTCTTCTTCGTGGTATTCATTGGAGAGAAGAACAGCCGAACTGGTTCATACTGCCACCTCCTGGATTGGATTACTCCACCTTTTAAAAGGTAGTAAATTACATGAGTCGCAGGGCTGTCATCTAACATGCTCAATTCTGCAAAAGCAATTTCTAAGGTTTGTATTTATTTTAGACATCAAATCTATTCAGTTTGTAAGTTATTAGGAGGCAGTAAGCTATCTTGACATTCATCCTACAAATTGTATTATACTCCATGATGAATAGCAGTTATTTGAGCTTCAGTTTCTAAGATATGTGAACGAGATCTGTTTCTTTGTATTGTTGTTATTACATATTAAATTATTAAATTTTCAGCTACTAAATTATCTTTTGGACTTTAGTTTTGCAAAGGAAGTTGTAATTGAGCTGCTTCTGTGCCACTTGCATGTTTATCTGGGTTTTTATTTATTTATTTTTTTTACTCAGATTTAGAGTTTCTATAAAAATTTAATTTAAAACCCAAAACAGGGTTTCCCATCCAGCTAATTATTTGATGAAGATATAAACACTTCATGTAAACTACATTAGTTTTTTAATTGAATATTATATTAGCAGACATATGTTAAGACCTTGGTGTTATCTCTATTTAGAGTAGAAATATGATTTAAAGTGTTGATTGGTCTTTCTGACTCCACTGAGGTACAAATAGGCACACAGTTACCCAGTGACTGAGTTACCTTTAATTCTGAGAGTATAGTGTATTTGAATTGATGAAATTATCTGTATTGTGAAATTATTTTATGTATGTAAAAACTAATAGCTCTTATGTTAATAACTAATAACTTGAAAATTCTACAACCTCATTTAATCATTAAACATATGGGTGCAACAAGCTTTTAAAATGTTTTAGAGCTTGCAAAAAGAATAACTCTGAAAATATTTATTTAAATGATCTTTGACTGAATCATAAACAGTGAGAGCTCTAATGAGACTGTCCAGAAAAGCATCTTAAAAATAGCATTTCCATGTTTCACAATTTGTTAACATGTTGTGAAATCCTAAAGTAATAATTTCACAACAGATTTTTGGTCATATTGTGGACATATTTTTATACTCTTAAATATAAAGGTGCAAAAAAAAGTCCTAAAAATGTACTTTTGAAACTGTATCACTCGGCTTTTTTGTACCTTTCTGTCTAAAAGTGCATATTCAAAATACTGTTTGCTATAATAAAAATTTTGAAAATGACATTGTTATAGGTTAACAACTTTATTAATCCCTCAAGGGGCAATTAAATTAGGGCAGGAGCATCATGGCACATCATACAAACAAAAATCACTCAAAAACAATATGACAAAGAATATTAAAAAAGGCACTGTTTTTTTTATCCTGGTATTGACTTTAGTCCTTGAAGCACTAAACATGTCAAATTCAAGATTTTCTGTAAATCTGATGGTCTTTTATCCTTACATCACAATGTGACAAAATCTGTCATTAGTCATTTTGACAGCTTCACTTCAGTAAACGCTATTTTTTATTTTTGTTTTTTTGGACTAAAAGGTCCTGAACAGAATGAATTTATAGAATAGCAACTTAATACGAGAGAAGATTAAAGGCAATTTGATTTGTTCATTCATGGCACCTATTATGGTTTAAATGTAAACAAATATAGTTTGTATATTCAATGTCAGAAAGATATAATGTAAACCAGAAGTGCCACATTGAGTATAACGTATTTAAGGAATACACTTAACACTTATATTCTTTGACAGGCAAATTACTTTCATCAGGGCTTTATACATAAGAGCCAGAGGTCTGCTGAAAGTATACATCTGAGCTCTGAGCAGACCATTCTTCATCCTCCATGTCACCTGTAAAATAAATTGTGAATCTATTATTCCTGCAGATTTCGACTGTACGTATAAGCCTTTTCCACTAGAGAAGGCAAAAGTACACAAATCCTTTACTTAAGTAGAAGTACAGATAATCATGTTTAAAACAACTCTGGTAAAAGTACTGACTACACTTTTGTACTTAAGTAAAAGAAAAGAAGTACCGCCACAAAAGGTACAAAAGTAAAAAGTACTCGTTTCAACTACACTCCAAAGACATGTGGCATAGGTGAACAATAGCTAACTAAATTGGCCATAGTGTGTAAGTGTGTTTGTAAGAATGTGAGTGTGTATGGGTGTTTCCCAATACTGGAAAGCATATGCTGAAATGCTGAAAGATTTAGAGGTTCATTCTGCTGTGGCGACCCCTGATAAATCTCCAGTTTTTATGTAAAATGTTTTTTTGCCAATTTTATGAAAGTAGCCAAGCAGCATCACACTCTGTAATAGCCTCACAAAATAGCTCAAAGTCGGTTCATGTAGCATCATCCTGACGTAAACTCACAGCGTTTATCATGTAGTTTTGTTGCTGTTACTGTAGATCAAAAACAACAGCTGCCATTCATGTTCATACACTATAATTCTGCAGGCCTGTATTTCTTTATAAATAATTATATTTTACACTGAATTCTGTCCAATATATATATATATATATATATATATATATATATATATATATATATATATATATATATATATATATGACTGCAAACTATTTATTTATTTATTTGCATTAGGCTAAAGCTGCTTTATACTCATTAAAAAGTAGCTGTCATACATGACCCGTTATTTCACTGTGTTTTTCCAAGTTATTGTAGTTATTTTGTTTAATGAATAAACATTAATTTTGTTACAAATTGAAATTCTCAAAACTTCCTGTTCAATCTTCAGATCATCACTGTGTCACTTGTGCACAGCAGAAAAGCAGTTTCTCATTATGAACAAGTCGTAAATGCTTTTGCACATCTATGCAAATGATTATGTGCAATTCTATGCTGTTTCCTACATTATCAACATGACTGTAATAATTGAATATTTAATGTACATTTTAAATTGTGGTCAACGACTTCACACAAATTAATTTCTTCTCATAAATACAGCACTATATTGAGGCTCTTCTGATTATCCTCACCTCAACAGATTTCTAAGATTTAAACCATCTCAACCATCCACCAGTGCTCTTTGCAGTCTCTTCACTTTTTAGTCTGTAAAGAGGAATCAAAAGAAAATATTTAGTATCGAGTTAGACATAATTGACTATATTTACTGCATTTGAATTCCTACAAGGACAAATGTACGGAATATGACACAAAACTCATGATTAATCTTAGTTTGGTGTAGACATTTCTTAATGTTTTAAGCAGAATACATGTAAAACATGAAAGATGAAAGCATGAAAGGGAAGCATGCTGATGAGCAAACAGTTTATGCAATAGACAACATGAAGCATGATATTTTAAAGACAACGGTAAACTATTCTATAAATGTTAGGAAGTATTTTAAAGCAGTAATGTGTGTTGTTTGTTGTGAAAATAGATTCAGTTGAGACAAGACAGAGACACACTGATTTATGAGTCTATCACCATTAATATTTTATTTAAATAGCTTTTATTTAATAGTCCCGTGCTTCATTAAAACTTAACGATCATTTCTTTTCAAAGGTGTTCAAAAAACATATTTAAAAAACTCAAAGAAATTGTTTTTCACTCACTTCAGATTGCACGTTGAGTCTTGCATCGCATCAATCAGCTTCTTCTCTGAGTCTTCAAGATTATTGTTGCTCAGATCAAGCTCTTTTAGAAACTGCAGAGCTTTTGTGTCTGTCAAACACTGAGCTAAAGAAGAAACATCTGTGATGCCACAGTCATGCAGACTAAAAAGTGAAAGACAAACAGAAAAGAGTGAATACATTTTGGTACAAAATACTCAACTGTATTTCTTATATAATTACATGTAGATACAGAAATGAAGAATCTTAATTTGAAGCATGTTGATGTGAAAGTTTCTCACCTCAGTGTCTCCAGTTTACAGTGTGAATCCTTCAGTAGGTCACATAAGAGATTCACTCCTGTGTTTCTTATTTGATTCTGGCTGAGGTTCAGTTCTCTCAGGTGTGATGGGTTTGATTTCAGAGCTGAAGTCAGGATCTCACACTTCTCCTCTGTAATACTGCATCCACACAGACTGAAGACAGAAAAGAGAGACACTTAGATCCAAGTGATCCAGAACCATTGTCGACTAAGATATGAGCTATAAATAAAATAAACAAACCTGATCTTGGATCACAAAACCACTCTTATTTTACACAGTTACATTTTTCAAATTGTATATATATATATATATATATATATATATATATATATATATATATATATATATATATATATATATATATATATATATATATCAAAACTTATTAGAATATAAAGTAAAGATAACATTCAATGATGATAGAAAATTTATCAAAACTTTTTTTCGTGTTTAGTAATATGCATTGCTTAAAATAAAATTCAAACAATTTTAGAGGGATTTTTTCCATAAGCTGTATAAATGTCAAATTCCAAAAGAACAGCTTATGACTGGTCAGTCATGCTATGTTACTTTTTACTCTGTTTTACTGCAGAGATCTGTGCATTAAATGCCTAATTTCAATGTCCTTTTAACTGATATGCATGTTAAACCTATTGGATTTAATAGACACATGTGTAATAGATAAATGACATACAGCTCTGTTGTTTTAAGTTAATAAGAAACAGAAGTTTTGACTGGCAATTATTTCCACAATAAGCAAGTCAATTTACTAACTGTAGTTTATCCAGCTTGGATTGAGGGTTCTTCAGTAGATCAAAAAGATTGTTCACTCCAGAGTCTCCTAGTTTAATCTGACTGAGGTCTAGTTCTCTCAGGTGTGATGGGTTTGATTTCAGAGCTGAAGTCACAGCAGAGCAACCTTCATCTGTCAGAGAACAGCACCTTAACCTTAAGAGGAATGTAACAAATAGACTGTTCAGTCACAGGGGGTGCAAGACACTTCATTTATACATGTGGGGAAAACAAAATAAACTGACATATACCAAAAATACCTTTACACAGTGCAGTTAAAAACAACAGTAGGTGATGAAGCAGCTTCAGATATATAATATTCTGAAAATATAAAAGTTCACTTTGCACAAACTGGTTTACAGTAGAGACTACAATCTGACACTGGCTACTTTTCCATCCCAAGATGCGAATAAAACCTATGCACAAAACTGAAATATCACATAAAATATATGCAAATGAAGCACTGTTCCCCATCCAAAAAAAAAAAAAAAAAAAAAAAAATAGTAGGAGATGCACTGCTGTAGTAGGAGATGCCACTGTGGGCCTTTTATCTTATGTGATAAATTATTTATGGTGGCTTTTGGAGCTGTGAGGCTCTTTCTTCCATCACAGTTTATGTATTTTTTTTAATTGAATAAAATATTTGTAATATTCCAAAAAAAAGTGTATAAAATAGGTGGATGGAAAAAGCTACTGAGTATAAGACTGGTATTGTTAAAGTATTTATCCTTCTGTATTTACCAGCTAAAATTGTATACATTACTTTTCTAACCCCTAGGACCTAAAAGCAATTTAACTTCAAGTTTAAGTTCATTTATTTATAAAGCACACTTAAAAGCAGTCACAAGACTGACCAAAGTGCTGTACATAAGACAAGGTAAAAAATAAAAATAAAAAGACATAATATAAAAGCATAGAAATGTCTGTAGAAATGTAAAAAAAAATAAAGTAGCAGTAAAACAAACTATTAAATAATCTTAAAAAGCCAAGCTAAAAAGGTACATTTTAAAAAAGTGATTTAAAATGGATAATGATGGAGCCATTCTAATCTCAAGGGCCAAGGTGTTTCACAACCGAGAACCTGCCACAGAAAAAGCTCTGTCCTCTCTACACTTCAGCCTAAACTGTGGAACTGTGGAATATTCTGCTCACTTGACCTAAGAGATCTCAAAGGAGTGTAAAGATGAAGCTGCTCTGAGAGATAGAATGGGTCTATATTATGGAGGGATTTATAAACCAGTAAAAGCACTTTAAAATCAATTCTGAATTGCACAGGCAGCCAATGAACCCCTCTTAGAAGAGGGGTAATGTCATGTTTTCTGCTGTTACAAATAAATCTAGCAACAGCATTTTGGACCAACTGAAGACGAGAAACCTGGTATTTTGACATGCCACAGTAAAGAGCATTGCAGTAGTCTAATCGTGATGTAATGAATGCATGGACAGTCATCTCTAGAGTGGTGGGATTTAAAAAGTGTTTAACTTTAGACAACTTCTTAATAAAAAATGTAATCACTTAACGCAATACTTTTTAAAATTACTATAAATCTCAATGCATAGACACCAGAAGTTAAACTTTTAATTCTTTTTATTTACTCAAACAAAAGGTTTATTAGCTTTATTAAAAATGTAATACTTATAAAAAGTTAAACATAATATGCATCAAAACATGAAACATTTCAAATTAATTCCCAAACATTTCATACATACCATATAGTGTCATTTATTTCTAACAAATTAATGGTTTGTCAGTTATAAACAACTGTAATTAAATGATATAAAAAAAACTAATCTCTTCCTTATTCAGCAGATAAGTGATTTAACTACAGTAACTCGTTACTTTGTAGCCAATTACACCCAACACTGGTGTTGACATACTAACAGTTGTCTGAATTATATTTGACTGATTGTAATCCAATTACACTGTACCTTTCTTAACTGTTAACCTATTATCAAGATGAATTTATTCTGACAAAGTTTAAATTAGCTACTGTCATATTTCTATTACTATTTTATAAACTATAACAGATAAAAGGATATTTTTTCTTGTTTTGTGAATGTCTCTCACCTCAGTGTCTCCAGTTTACAGTGTGAATCTTTCAGTACGTCACATAAGAGATTCACTGCTCTGTTTTTAATTTGATTCTCACTGAGGTCCAGTTCTCTCAGGTGTGATGGGTTTGATTTCAGAGCTGAAGTCAGGATCACACACTGTTCCTCTGTAATACTGCATTTAAGCAGCCTAAAATAAAATTAAAAGCACAGAAACAAAAGCTCAAGATTCACTATGACCGAAAAAAGTGTTGCAAACAAATGTCTGGATATTACAGATTTTTTTCCAGTATACAATGTTTATATAGCGCAAAAAAGTTGATACCTGCTCATTATTGGACTGATCTAATGAGATAATATAATTTTCAATTAAAATAAGTAGATCAGAGTTAATTATAATCAGAATACTCTTATTTAATTTAGTCTCATTTAGACAATTATTTACAGATTGATGCCAGTTCTTTTTGTTAAACCAATATAGCTTACACCTTACAATACAGGACACGTTTTTAATGTTGCTTAATGTTTTTACTAACAAACAAACAAAGAACAATACATTTATTAAAGTATTTGTTCATGTCTGTTTATGTAAATGCAGTTGTTCATTGTTAGTTCATGTTGACTCAAAGTGCAATAACTAATGTTAACAAGCACAGAGTTTGATTTGAATGCTGAATATGATTAATAAATGCTGTACATGTATTGTTCATTGTTTGTTCATTCATAACTACTTGTATTGTTATGTTGTCTGTTCTAAATGTAGATGCTAATTGCAGTCCTGATAAATGAGGACATATAAGCATCAACAGCTACACTGGTAAAATATTTAACTAGTAATCCCTGTAATATACTCACTGAATTGTGTTGAGTTTACAGTGTTTATCCTGCAGCAGAGCAGCAAGATATTTGATGTTTGTGTCTCCGAGTTTTTGATCACGCAGATTTAGCTCTCTCACAAGAAATGGATCTTTACCAACAAGTCCAGGCACATACTTACAAGCCTTTTCTGCATCAGGACTTAAAAACCTGTAAATTAGAAGCAGAGCTGAATGCAGTTCACTGACCTTATGTGGCTTAATGAAAATTATATTAAAATATTTTATTATTATTTTTAAATCCTAAAATCAATGTATACTGTACGCAACATATTATATCATTTCTGTTTTAAATAATCAGCTGGAAAATATATATTTTTTTCATGTTTCACCTGAGAGTCTTCAATTTAGTGTATCGATCCTCCAGTAAGTCAGTGAGCTCCTTCACTCCTGATTGTCCAGGATCATTTCCTCTGAGATCCAGCTCTATCAGATGTGAAAGGTTTGATCTCAGAGCTGAAGCCAGAGCTTTATAACCTTCTTCACTGATACTGCAGTCTGAAAGACTAGAGGAAATAGATTTAAAGTATTATTAAAAATGACTGAAAACAAAAACATTATTCACTGCTAACAGAACCATAAATTTCCTCTATTTTATTGGAGCAATTTACAAAGAAAATGTACTTTTGTAAGTCACAGGGCTCCCACTCTTCCACAAACAGCCAATTCAAGGACTTTTAATGCACCATTAATTTTAATCAAGCACCTTTGTAATTCCCACCACCAGCGTATGTAGCGCAATGAGTTGAACTTTATTGAACTTAACATTTTACTTACACTTTATAGTCACAAATGTCTGAATAATGAGGATGTTTTGAATGTGTCATTTTTAAACATTTACAGTTTTAAACAGTCATGCTCAAAGAACTTTAATACATTTTTTTTTTCAAAACTGGTATTATTAAAACACAGTTTATCAACTACTGATGTAATGCATTATTTGTCTTAGCTCTTGTATACTACTTAAATTTAGGATTTTTAAATTCAGATTTGTTATTTTTTTCACAGCAGCACAGTACAATTGTTGAAATAACACAATAAACAAATTTAATTTAAGCATTTTCAAAGAGCTGTGTACACAGTACTTTCAAGGCTTTGAATCCATAAGTACTTTTAAGAAGTGTGGGAACCCTGCAGTCAGTGTTTCCCTGAACTCACTTAAGTTTCTCCAGTGTGCAGTTGTTATTTTTTAATCCATTCCAGAGCTGCTTCACTCCTGAATCCTGCAGATTATTATTGCTCAGGTCAAGTTCCTTCAGACTGCTGGAGTCTGAACTGAGAACTGAAGCAAGAACTGAACAGCTTTCCTCTGTTAGATCACATTTACTGAGCCTGAAGTATTAAATAAGAGTGGCAGAATTTACAAATACAAACTATGTGATGTTAAAAATATTAATTGATCATTTAAATGTTGCATTTTGGTCACTTGATTATTTACAGTTACTTAAAATCTACAAAAATGAAGAAAAAGATACTCACTGAAGTGTGTTGATTCTAAAGTGTTTATCCTGCAGTAGAACAGCAAGCTGATTCACTTTTTCTAGGTCTAGTTTGGTTTCATTCAGATTCAGCTCCTTTGAGATTAATGGATTTTGTTTGAAGACACGAATCAAATACTGATAAGTTTCTTCAGCAGGACCTTGAAAAAACCTGGAGACAGATCATAAAGTGACACATTACTTGACATTGGATTTATTTATTTTTATTTCCCTAAAACAACTTATAAAAGCATGATAAAGGCCAAGTACCAACTTGTAGTACTATATTTGTGTCATTTTAAAACCAAAAAAATTGTATGGTTTAAACTTAGCAGACCTTTTTTATTTATTTTTTTTTTTTAACAAGCATGTTTGATGAATCATTTCTCTTATTCGGGCTAAATATTGTTACTGTCTATATAAAGTAAAAAAATAAAATAAAATAAAATAAAATAAAAATTATATATATATATATATATATATATATATATATATATATATATATATATATATATATATATATCAATTAACAGGAAAAAATGAACAGAAAAGCTGTTTCAACAGACTGCTTGTAAGTAATTCATGATAACAGGGTTTTTTATCTGTATTATTCTGCATTCTATTTTGCCAAATCCAGGTCAATATAGTGGTAAAACTGATTAGATACACTCAATTTGTATTCTACATATTAAGTCCTAACACTTGATTTTAAAACTATAAGTCAACTTACTCTCGTTACAGTACATGTAATTATTGTACTGTTAGGGTTAGTTTTAAGATCAGACTTAGTCAAAAACTACAGATATACAAATACAGTTTATTTGCATTACTAGGGTAAATTACAATGCACAGTATGACCAACACAGTGAAGTAAGTACCGCCTTCCAATCAGATTAAAAATCAATCTTTATTCTTTTGCGGAGGTATTAGTAGAGGTTTACTTGTTTTCCTTTCATTTTTCAACTAATGCCTGCTTGCCCAGCTTTGACATAAACAATCTTAGCCCATCAAATGTAATCTATTTCCAGTGTCATCCTCCAGTTTTTGCTAAGGGTTTTGTCTGTACTCTTTCAGCTTTTGTTAACTGCAGCCATCGGTTATGTTTTAAAATTATTTCGTATTTAAGCAACAAAAGTAATGGAACAGGTCACTTCAGATTTTGTGGTTGATTAGAGATAGCTCATTTAACTGAGTACAGCAAGGAGGTTTTGTGGTTTTAGTATTTCCCCATTCATCTAGATATGGACTTTGGTCTTGGATGACCTACCTGGAGGTTTGCAAATATTGTTTGACGAGTGAACAAACTTTACTTGAGGGACTTTGGCTTAGTGAAATAAGCTTGGGTGTAGTTACAAAGCTACCCATTATATTATGTATTGGGGATCCAACAGAATAAGGTATTCATCAGATATTAAGCAGGTAGCCTAGCACTCTAATGACTGCATGTTGACAGTTGGAAAATTACTTAAGGTTAAAAGAATGTCTGAAGTGCACTATTAAAAGTACTCCATCAGACTGTGATTAAATAGTCCTAAAGTATTGCTGAATACTGAACAACAAAGTAGAAATCAGGATCTTTGTAAATTATTGTACAGTTATTTCTTTGAATGCTACTGTTAAAAGAACAAAAAACAAAACATACAGTATGTGTCAGATATGTATGATATCTTATGGTGTATGATGACCTGACTGTAATCTAATAAACCTACATCGTTCACTCACTTCTCTTAACTGAATTACATTTGTAGCTTAAAAAAAAAAAAAAAAAAAAATATATATATATATATATATATATATATATATATATATATATATATATATAAATAAAATTATATATATATATATATATATATATATATATATATATATATATATACGGTTGAAGTCAGAATTATTAGCCCCCCTAAATTATTAGACCACTTGTTTATTTTTTTTTCCCAATTTCTGTTTAACGGACAGAAGATTTTTTTCAGCACATTTCTAAACATAATAGTTTTAATAACTCATTTCTAATATCTGATTTATTTTATCTTTACCATGATAACTGTAAATAATATTTTTCTAAATATTTTTCAAGGCACTTCTATACAGCTTAAAGTGACATTTGAAGGCTTAACTGAGTTAATTAGGTTAAATAGGCAGGTTATGCTAATTATTATTGTATAACGATGGTTTGGTCTATAGAATATCAAAAAACAAAAAAAAAAAAAACACATAGCTAAAATAGGCTATAAAAAAAATAAAAACTGCTTTTATTCTAGCCGAAACATAACAAACAAGACTTTCTCTAGAAGAAAAATTTTATCATACTGTGAAAAATTCCTTGCTTTATTAAACATAATTTGGGAAATATTTAAAAAAGAAAAAATTTTAAAAGGGGCTAATAATTCTGAATTTAACAATATATATTGTTTCATTTACAGTGAGAAGACTTTTATTTGTTTAATTCCTGTTGTATTTCTAACCCAGAAACTACTTAAAATTAAGGGTTCCCTAAAACGTAGGTAATCAATGGATCCTCAACTTGAATCACTGGATGATAGATCACTACTTCTAATGTTTTTCCAAGCTTGTAAAATGTCCTTAAGTTCATTCAAATTTTGTAATCATTGTTTTAATTCTTTCAACTAAAGTTAAAGTTTTAAAGTCAAAATTATTGCTCATCATTATTTTAAAAGCACTCACCTTAATGTCTTCAGTGAAGAGCGCTGTTGCATTTCAACAAGCTCCTTCACTCCTGATTGTCCAGGATCATTTCCTCTGAGATCCAGCTCTATCAGGTGTGAAGGGTTTGATCTTAGAGCTGAAGCCAGAGCTTTATAACCTTCTTCACTGATACTGCAGTCTGAAAGACTAGAGGAAAAAAGTTAGATATGCCACTTATAGTATCACTGTCATATATTTTCTAGTTAATAATTCATTAATGATCACCGGAATCCTAAATGTAGTAAAATGTAAATGTACAATCAGAATAATTGTTCTTAATTTTTTTCCATGCTGGTATATTGTCACTGTTGTATTTAGAGATAACACTGCAGTGAGCTCATAGAGAGCTCGTACTGTTCATTTGAAAATGCATTTTGTGTTTCTGCAGTGAATGAAATCACTGTACATAAAAATGCCCATTTTACATGGTCTTGCTTCCAAATGTGAGCAGATTTAATGAACAAATAATGGATAATGTCACTATGATGTTTCAACTGAGATGTGTAAATGCACTCACTTCAGTATTTTAAGCGAAGATTTCTTCAGTCCCTCGCAGATCTTTTTGACACCTGAATCCAGCAGAGGGCTGCTATTCAGGTCCATCTCTTTCAGGAGTTTATTTTTGGAGAGAACAGTAGCTAGAACTGAACACATTTTCTTTGTCACCTCACATTTATTTAACCTAAAAGGAAAGAGTATTTATCAAGCAGACATCAGGTTATTAATTCTTCATTTGCTCACATGTGACAAAGAATGGCTAAGTGTGACATTTTATCAAGCACTTTGTATACTGTTACAAAGGGGCCTATCGTACACCCGGCACAATTTGGCGCAAGACGCGACGCAATTGTTATTTGCTACTTTTAGCTCGGCGCAAGAGTGGTTTTGAGGTGTTGTGCCACGCTGTTTAAATAGCAAATGTAAATGCGCTCATATGTGCGCCCATAGGCGTTCTGGTCTAAAAAAGCAGGCCTGTTTTGGCTCGTTGCTATTTTGACAAACTGCAATAGTCTGTTCTTTAGACCAGAACAAAGCCGGTCTATTGTCTGGCGCAGAGTGCGCCAGGCTTACACACTGTTTAATACACATAAGATGTAGAGCAATAGGCAAATATCTTTACATATGAAAAATATATAAAATATTAAGGATATATATATAGGATATAAATATAAAGGATTAAAATATTCCAAAACATTATTTTCTAGCCTACATGAATTTAAAAACCACTGCCTTCATGCCTTCTTCATCTCGGGGGGCTTTTTCGGTTTATTCAATTTGCTTTTGTATAATGTTATTATTATTAGCAGTATTATTTATTATATGGATTATTATATTTGTTTTATTAAAAACAAGCTTAGATTTGTCCACCTGTCAGGTTTTAGACAATATGGGGCACAGCAGGTGTATTTGGATATAACTTAGGTTTTTGACCACACTTCATTATTATTGTTCATTTATTCATTTGGTGGAAATTAGAACTGAATTTAGAAATAGTTTTGAAACAAATATTTGTGCTTAAAAATAAAATTATTTTATTTATAGGGTAATTGCTGCTGTGCGTACAAGGTTTCCCTATCCACGAGAGCAAAAGTGAAAGTAGATAATGAGATGCCTTATCTATCAGTCTCGCGCGGTAGATGCTCTGTTTAACTGTTTTCTTGCTTGTGAAATACTCAGTTTTTCCACTTAGACTTATTTTACGTCATGTAAATAGCTAATGCACTTATGGCGCGACGCAACTGGCTCTTAAAGGGAATGGGAGATGAGACTCTGATTGGTTTATTCTTAAAACACACCTATAACTCATTAAGAAAATAAACTCAACCCTTTTAGACATGAGCCATGGCGCAAAGCGGATTTTTCTGTCCTTAAATTAGCAAAAATGCGTTCTAACACACCCTGAAATCGTTTGCGCCCTGTGTTTTGCACTTTGCAAATGGACCGTCAAAATAGAGCCCAAAAACAGCATCAGAGAACTGAAGTGCAGGGACTATATCACAACCCAGATGAATAATGGATGCAACATGCAGTTCTTTCTAGATTTTACAATGGTGGTAACAATTAATGAATATAATGCTGTCTGTGGTAAACATAACTTGACAATACTTGAACGTTGAGCTATTATTATTTAATATAAAAATGCTTGGGATGAGAGCATTACTTAAAACATCATTGAGTAATGTTAACCACAGACCTTATCTGATTTTCCCATAGGAAAATCTCAACAGAATCAATGGGTGAATTATTCTTCTAGGTTTTATGTCATTCCTGCACCTCTCTACAGTATTTAGTTTCCAATATCATGCAGTCATTTGCTGCTGTTGAACAGGAAGAACTGCATTAAAAACAGCAGAGCGTATATATGAGAAAACCATTGTGACTTTTATTGGACAGGCTTTATTATGGGTCTGGTTCAATTTTTTCCAACATTTACTATTTTGATTGACAGTGAGGGCAGTTAGATTAAAGTATTAAATGAGTGGCGCGATGATCCATCTTAGGCCCTATTTTGTATACAATATACATGAATGTTTAAAATGACATTCACTCACATTATTTTCTCCACTATGCAGCAAGAGTCCAGCAAAAATGCAGAAAGTTTCTCCCAGTTGTGGTCTTTAAGTTTCACTTTGCTCAGATCCAGTTCTGTCAGTAGTAGTGGATTTGTGCCCAAAGCATCTGTAAGGTACTCATTTGCTTCTACTGCATCAGAACTGCTTAGAAAGCTACAGAAATAGGAGAAAATGACAACATTTTGTTACAGTGACATCACAATTACAACTGTTCTGCTTTTTAAATTCAATCATTCAGGGTCCAGTGTGATTAAATTCCAAAGTATGATGACTCTACCTGGTTTCAAGATGGGGGAAACAATGAAAGATGACAATTTATTTTGACATTGTGTCAGTAGCAGCAGCAAATTCATCAAATTCAGTTGTGTGATGTATCGATTATCTTTAAATTGCAATTCAGTAAATTATTTGGAAATAATTAAATCCTGTAATTACCTGATGTTCTTTAATATACTCATATCCCCTCCAAATAATTTAAAGAACCACGATAATCCTGATGATCCTGGATAATTTTCAGTGAGATCCAGCTTTATCTGGTTTGGAGGTTTTGATTTTAGAGCTGAAGCCAGAGCTTTATATCCTTTTGCACTAATACTGCAATCTGAAAGTCTGAAAAATAAAAAGTCATATGTTGGGTATGTTCTGGTTATATTGCAGCTTGTTCTATGGAAACTAAACAAAATAAAAATGTGAATGTCTTTTTTAAATATTAAACAACCACAAAGATAGTGTGCTATGACTAGTTCACACTACAAGCTTTTAAGCCAGATTTGCAAGTTAATGAGATTGCTGACAGATCATGGAAAAATCAGCAAGTGCTGAGCACTGTCTTTATGTGTGAACTACTCAATGACACTTTAAAGAGGCTTACTGATGCTGATACTGATCACCGACACCTCAAACCAATATTGAGACATGATGTGCGGTCAGATGTAGTTATGAGCTACAGTCAATGAAAGGTAGGCTGACTGATTGTTGTGTTCCCAATCTCAACACACATATCTGTGATTGGCAAGAATGGTGAAAGGGGTCTAGATCCAGACCATGTGGAATTTGCTAAAATATTGTAAAGTATATATAAGTGAAGTATACTTGGTTTGCATGAGTTTATTTGAGAATAAACCATGCAGTGTGTGTATGAGAGAAATATTTTTATTAATTTGTATAAATATAATATGTTGAATAATATGATATATTGTATAATAATATGATTTATTGTATAATAATATGATATATTGAATAATAATATAATAATAATAATATGATATATTGAATAATAATAATAATATGGTATATTGAATAATAATGTGATATATTGAATAATAATGTGATATAATGAATAATAATGTGATATAATGAATAATAATATGATATATTGAATAATAATATGGTATAATGAATAATAATGTGATATAATGAATAATAATATGATATATTGAATAATAATATGGTATATTGAATAATAATGTGATATATTGATTAATAATATATATTGAATAATAATGTGATATAATGAATAATAATGCGATATAATGAATAATAATATAATATATTGAATAATATTATGGTATATTGAATAATAATATGATATATTAAATAATAGTGTGATATATTGATTAATAATATGATATATTGATTAACAATATGATATATTGAATAATAATGTGATATATTAAATAATAATGTGATATATTGAATGTTATTGTGATGTATTGAATAATAATGTGATATATTAAATAATAATGTGATATATTGAATGTTATTGTGATGTATTGAATAATAATGTGATATATTGAATGTTATTGTGAATTATTGAATAATAATATGATATATTGAATAATAATGTGATAAATTGAATGCTATTGTGATATATTGAATAATAATGATATATTGAATGCTATTGTGATATATTGAATAATAATGATATATTGAATGTTATTGTGATATATAGAATAACAATATGATATGTTGAACATTAATGTGATAAATTGAATGTTATTTTGAAATATTGAATAATAATATGATATATTGAATAATAATGTGATATATTGAATGTTATTGTGATATATTGAATAATAATGTGATATGTTGAATAATAAAATGATATATATATATATATATAGAGAGAGAGAGAGAGAGAGAGAGAGAGAGAGAGAGAGAGAGAGGCACATACACAAGCTGACCAGAACCAATTTATATTTATGACTGTTCCAAAAATTGTCAAAATGAGGCTTGGTTTATATATTTAATCCACATACTCACTATGAAGATATCAGAGCACAATGTAACTTTTTTAGCACTATACAACACCTTTAGTAACTGTTAATGTTATGTTAATTGTATCGATTCTGTTCTTATTTGAATTAATGCATTTCACTAAGGATACATGTTTAAAACGTAAGGTTGTTAAATTTAACACATACCATTTATTGAATAATTAAACAGACAAAATTACAGTTAAGTAAAAATACTCACTTCACTTTCTCCAATTTGCACTGAGCATTTTGCAACAGACAACAGATATTCTTCAACCCTGAGTCTCCAAGTTTATTTCCACTCAGATCCAGCTCTTTCAGGTGTAAAGGGTTTGAAATAAATGCTGAAGTCAAAGCAGCACAACCTTCTTCTGAAATGCTGGTATTATTCAGTCTAATGAAGAAAAAACAGACTAGTTACTGAAAAAATCTCTTGAACAATCTGAAATGTTTGATTCTCCTGAGTTAGTGAAATCTCTTGACCAGTTTGAATTGTTTTTTAATCTGTTGAGTCGACTTAATCATTTGATTAGATTGGACTGTTTAAATCTCTTAAATTTTCAGTACCTTCTGAACCTAGCCCAACCTCCCTGTCCTTTTTTTGCTTATCCTCAGTCTGCTGCCATTACAAGGTATGACTATTTTTATGATGCAAGTTCATGCCCTTCCAGTGGGAAAGTAATGCCACTTGTCTTCCCCAGTCTTCTGCTCCTTTGTTCTCTTCTCCTGCCATGATTTAGGCCATGTCCACACTTACAGGGGTATTAGTACACAGGTTCCTCCCAAAATGTCCTTCCATGTAGTGTGTAACACAGTAAAGTAAAATATCCAGCTAAGGCTTAAATCTGTAAGTGCACAGTGTTTAAAACAGTTGATTCATCTATAAAAGAGTCGACTCATAGTGCTTCAAACGAGTCATCTTGTTAACGAGTCATTAGGTGTTTTGCCATGACGTGTAAAAGGAAACTAAGTAGTTGCACACGCAAACTCGGGAGATTTGAAACCTGTAGTCCCGCCCTCTAACATAGAAAAAGCCACACACACACACACAAACACAAACACGCCGGTCAAATGAAGTCACTAAGCAAAGAAGAAACCTCAGCATTATAACCCAGCCTTGAGCAGTTTGAGTGCTTCTGGAAACTACATGCTACAAAGAAGACTTCATCGGCCGTTTGTTAAAGGAAAGATCAGTAAAGAGTATTGATGGCCCTGGATCGGTTTCTTCCTCGATTTCTCAAGTATAAGTATGTGCGATTAAAGTTGTTGACTCGTTTACTCTAGCTTGCAAATGTATTTAGTTATGATTTGTTACTTGAAACCGAGTGTACTGTATCAGGTTAACTCTCTATATTCTCAAATCGCGTGCAAAGCCACGTTAAAAACGCGACGTTTGCTGCTTTATTTAGGGTAATGGAGGGTAATGTGAAAAAAGCAGAGTGTGTCAAGCTAGGAGATCTCCTCGCCAGTTCTTTGGAGTTTTTGCTCAATAAAATAGTTAGTCTTCTGTAACTATGTCTGTAACTGTCCCACTGGCAGCCAAAATCCATGCCTTACACTAAAGCTCGTATGCACTGTGACTACTTCTTTATTTTTGATTAGCTGTTGGGCATTTCACTCTGTCTCGCGCTGAAGGAAGTCAGTGTCAACCAATCGCAGCAGACTGTCATTGGTGCAATCAGTGCAGATTAGCTTCACGCTAAGGGGGGGTTTGGGACCAAATGAATCACTGAACGATTCATATGGGAGTCGCTGGGATAATCAGGTAAAAATAAATGCAGATTACAAGATTATGAAAGTGTTTTTTGACCTTGCATGCATATTAGACTGTTGTTGGAGACCATTACAACCAAAACATGACCCTATTCCATGTATAATATGGGCTCTTTACATGTAAAAAATTCCAATCCACATAACAACACAAAACACACTTTCAAGAGCATGCAGGAACAACAACAGACAGCGATAAAATCTTCTGTTAGTTTTACACCAATCACGGAATACATTTTTTGTGCTAGCAACTTACATAAAAATCCAATGCCAATGAGTAAAGGCAATTTGCCAAATTTGTCACAAATACACAGTGGCCAATTAGAAATGAAAAACAGCATGCAAGTGACATCATGGGGCAAAAACACTTGTTTTAGTGGCCACACGATCTCGCTGTCACCAATGTTTCTGAAAATCTTCATACTAACTTATGTTGTCAAAAAGTTAGAAAAATATTGAGTAGGGGATGGGACTTTCTTTTATTCATCATTTCCTTCATAGCAAACAAACAGTAAGAGGGGCTCACATTGTCATTCTTTAATTGAAAATGTGTCAATGTAAGTAAGTGTTTCATGTCTACTTTGTCAAGTCGAATTGATTATATGATCGTGATTGTGTGTTTGTTTGCTCAATATTTGATGTAAATGTCACCATAACACAATGTAGATCTTATTGTCCTCTTCAGTGTCTGTATTCTACAGAGACCCGGAAGGGACGTGAAGGTGGGGGAAAAAACTTGGTGGAAAAAAATGTGATAGGAAATTTTTTTTTTTTTTTTAGTTTTTGGGTTCCCTTGCAAAGATTGCATTCTCTCGCAAAGATGTTTTGCGTTCCCTTGCAAAATTTCCACAAATACTTCCTGTTCACCTTATACATGTTGACCCTCCTGTTTTGCCGGTATTCTCCCGTATTTTAGCATTCTATCCCACTATCATAATATCATTAAACATTTTTTCATATTTCTCATATATTTTTAAAATTGAAAGCACGCTGAAATTAATATAAAAATGTCTGCATTCTTTTTCTTTCCATTAAAGCTGTGCGTCGATCATCGCATTTATATGCAAGCTCTGAATCAGCGAATGCATGTACTGACTGACAGTGAACCCGCTTATAATAAACTGATCCTAGATCAGCTTCTGTACACTCCATTTAAAGTGACAGCTCTTTTATCAAGAGCACCTCTGTTATCCGAGCAACAAATTAATCTCTTGTTTTGTTTGATAACAGATATGTCACTTTAAGAATACACAGATCTATAATGAAAGCACTCCATTACTTTAGTTACTGTTTCTGCTCATTTAAGAGAAAATGAGTTGTGTTTAAAATAAAACATGCAGGACAGACATGTTTACATATTATTAAGTGTATTTGTTTGTTTAAACACACACCCGAATCCCAAAGTGTCCTGCACTTTTGCTCCTCTTTAATTGGCGTGCACAGAAGCTGATCTGGGATCAGTTTATCATACAGAGCGCTTCTGTCATCAGCACTTATACATGCATTCGCTGATTCAGAGTCAGAGGTTGCATATGAAGGGCGATGCAGGGTGATGATTGATGAGAGGGTTGACATGTATGAGGTAAACAGGAAGTATTTCGTGACCTTGCAGTTATGTTTCTATCTGCATTCTGAATGATTTTGAGATATTGAGCTTTAAAGTTTTTGCATTCCATAGGAAATAGTATGTGTGTAACATTTATTTTTAAGATAAAAAATCTTAAAATGTAAACAAGTTATAAAAAAACATTCCATAATGTAAACAAGTTGTTATTTAATAAGAATGTTAATAACTCAGATTTGACAAAAAAGTCAGATAGAACCTTATAAAACATCTTTGCATACCCTCGCAAAACATGTTCACGAGATAACGCAAACTTTGTGAGGTAACGCAAAAACTAAAAGAAAAATGTTTTCCAATCACTGTTTTTTTTCTCCCACCCAATTTTTCCCCTTTATCACATCCCTTCAGGGTCTCCATAGTATTCCTGTACACACCAGTAAAAGGACTAAATAAATGCATATTGAAGAACACATAGCATAAGTGTTAACTTACCTAGCTAGTGAAGTGTAAAAACATTTTTCAGAAAAAAAAGCATATTAATATTTTTTTGAGATATCAAAACCATGTAATACTCACTGAATTGTGTTCAGTTTACAGTGTTTATCAAGCACTACGGCAGCAAGCTGACTGACTTTTTTGAAGTCTAGTTTGTGTCCGCTCAGATTCAGATCTTTTAGGAGTAATATGTTTTTACCCACAATTCCTTTCACAAACTGACAGACTTCATCTACAGCAGGACTCAAGAACCTAGAAAAGAGAAGATCAAGCAGGAGTTGTTTCAAAGTATATTGTGAAATAGAAACTATTGTCAACTATTTTCTTTATTATTATTTGTTTAATATTTGTTTAGCATTTTCCTCAAGTCTCACTTCAGTGTTAGGTTATTCAGCTTAACATCAGTGAGCTCCTGCACTCCTGATTGTCCAGGATCATTTCCTCTGAGATCCAGCTCTATCAGGTGTGATGGGTTTGATCCCAGAGCTGAAGCCAGAGCTTTATAACCTTCTTCACTGATACTGCAGTCTGAAAGACTAGAACAGGGAATTCAATTATTCAAACAAAAATAGACAACTATTATTTACAAATTTAATGTCAAATATCAGCTCACTTGAGTTTCTCTAGTTTACTGTGCTTCAGTCCATCAGTGAGCAGCTTCACTCCTGAATCCTGCAGATTATTATTGCTCAGGTCAAGATCTTTCAGACTGCTGGAGTCTGATCTGAGAACTGAAGCAAGAGCTGAACAGCTTTCCTCTGTTAGATTACATTTACTGAGCCTGAAAACAAACACCAAGACTGAAGATTTACAGCTGAACCATTAAAACAGTACATCTAGTTAGGGAATCAGCAACCAAAATTCAGCATCGATTTTTATCTGACCAATTTCAACTGGTCTGTTCTGTTTCACCCATAATGTAATTTAAGTCATATTAAACGTTTTTCTTCCAAGGTTTCTTTTTTAAATGTTTGGTACATGAGTAAAAATATATTCAGAGAAAGAAACATCAGTCACATCGAATGATACTGACCACATTTTCAACACAGGAGATGCTGAATGAGTCCTAGAATGTCCAGCTACTATCCTAACATGTATAATATGTCAACAACTCACTGTGTTTCTGTGAATATAACATTGGCTGCAATTTAACAAAGACTAAAAACTTTAAAAGGGTCTGATTACTCTCCGTACCCACAGTATCAACAGTTCCAACCAACATTTTATATTTTATTTTAAGCTTTAATCCAGTGAAAAAAAAAGATGTATACAATTTTCTGCTGCTGGAATCTGAAATAAAAAAACACACATTAATAATGATAGTACACAATAGGGATGCAATGGTTCTTAGTAAATAATTGCATGAGGCAAATGATGGAGATGGAGAGTGCATAAGTGTGGTTTAGACCGCACACTAGCATCAGTGTTTCAACAGGCACTCAATGTAAATTCTGATAAACACTTTAAAAAATAAATGTTGATTTTTATTGTTGTTGTTAAGAAGATAGCCTAGATCAGCAGTCACTAACAAGCAGCTCGAGGTCTGTGTCCAGAACCAAGCAGCCCATATGAATGTGGATATTTAGCCTATAGTTTGCGCAGGTCTGTTACTTCAGTCCCGCTTCACTGGGTGTTTCCGCACCCGATTGCTCCTCCGATTTATTTACTGTTTACCCGCAGTCTGCTAAGAAAAGTTTTTTTCTTCGAATGACTGTTCCCACTGAATTGAGAGAGAAAAGCTGAACGGTCCATCTTTGCTTAAGTTTTATTTACTACAATAGTGCTGATGAGTGATAACAGAACTTTCTGGAATGATTGTTAATAAAAATGTATTGTTACCTTGGCAATACAAGCATAATATAAACAGAAAATAGAAAAGCGCCCAATTATTGAGATGTGTTTTTATATGCACATTGATGAGCATTTTATATGAACATACAATTTTCAAATGCCCTACTTTTATTTATTTAACGAGAGAACATGCATATGTGTGAAGCCTTTTGCATTGTCAGGGGTTTGTTACCCAATAATTAGGTAAATTGTTATTTCAATTTTTCTGAAGTCATTTTCTTCCTAAATATAGCACACATTGTATTGTACCGAAACCATGAGTAGATTGAACCATTGCACCCCCAGTACACAACTGTACTTTAATCATGTCCACATTTAGAAACAACATAGAATTTTGGACTTGAATGTTCCTGCTGGTGAATGTACTGACTTGAGTATCTTCAGCTCACACACAGGATTCTTTAGTCCCTCACAGATCACTCTGACTCCTGAGTCCAGCAGACGACTGTTGTTCAGGTTCAGCTCTTTCAAGTTGGTTTTAGAGGAGAGAACAGCAGCTAGAACTGGACAGCTTTTCTCTGTCAGCTCACAATTATTCAGCCTAAACACAAAAACAGCATTATTCAATAATCAGCACACATTCAACACAAATCAAATCAGCAGACTTTCAATACGTGAGGACAGAGGACACATATAAATCTAAATATTAAAGTTCACTGTATCCAAAATTTGATGCCTATCCTATCAATGCTCCTGTAATTCTTTGACATTAAACCAGCCACGCTGTAAACTTAAAACTATGGAGGGGGCGGGGGTTGTTTTCATATACTGCTCCTAAATTATGGAATTCTTTGCCGGCCCCCATTACAATACTTCATCCTTGGCTGTTTTAAGAAATCTCTTAAACTTATAATCTCTTAAACTTAAAATATTTTTTTAGTGTTGCTTTCTCTGTCATTGATCTTACTTTGATGTAAACGTGACATTTTAAATTCTTTCTTCTTTTATTGTTTTTACTGTTGTGGCACCTTGAGTCTAAGAAAGGAACACTATAAATAAAACTTAACATTATTATAACTACATTTAAAAGGTTTAATTATTTATTAAATAAGTCTATTTGTTTTGATATGTGTTTTATGTGTGATCCCCCTCAGCCTTCCGGGGTAAAGTTTATGCCAGGGTACTGGAGAGGAGGATCTTGCTGTAGCGAAATTAGCTCCGTTTCGAGCAGACTCTCAGATTAGGAATATTAAATATCAAGTATAATGAATTATTATTAATCATTAATATTCTGAATTAATTTACTGTTAATTTGACCAAATAAATATAACCAGACCTTGCCTGCTTGTATGAGTGAGGTGGATTTTATACTCTTTAAAGTGTGAAGTTAATCTATATATTCAAATTATATGTGTATAATCTGCTTGTAGACTTGCAAACCATTAGAAGAATTACCATATCACAAGAACTGGATAAGTTATATAGTTACCAGGTTTGGGTCAGGGGTTAACCTAGGTGGAAATTGAGGTCAGGGGTTAACCTAGGTGGAATTTGTGTGACATATGTAGAAATAAGGGAAAAACAGATGACAGAGGTGGAATTTGGAGTCAAGCAGTAAACTAGAGGGGGTCTTGTGTGATATATGTAGTACTAAGACAAAAACAGATGACAGAGGTGGAATGTGGGGTCAAGGGTTAAACTAGGAGGGATCTTGTGTAACATATGGAGGAAAAAAAACTGGTGTAAAAGACTATTTAAGCAGGCCAGAACATGAGTGAGATAGAATTTTTCAGACAGAGATGCTACTGGGGGTCTCCTGAAAGTTCTCCTTTGTTGTCGACAATAAAGTATATTCTTCTGATATTCATAACCTCCAGACTGAGTTTGATTTATTAAGAGAAAAACCAAGAAAACCACTACATGAGCGGACTCTAATGATCCACATTTTTAGAAAGGGAATTATTACAACTGCTTGTGAAGTAGATTAATCATTTATGAGTTTTGATTAACTTAATAACAGCTTTTAGCAAGAAATCTGTCATTTCAGGGACCTTTTCTGTGAGGTAAACAATACAATCTATTTGATTATAATGGGATTTATTGACTAGACTGACGTATAACAAACAAACGCACAAACATAACATCAAACATAGAACAAACGTACGGTGTACTGAATATAGATAGGCTATATAGGATCTATAGAACATATAACAAACAGAAAGAAAAAGAAAAGCGAGGAAATAGAGTTTAGGTAAAAGAATGGCAAATCTATCTTAGTTCTACACACTATTAAGGATCACCAAGATTATAAAAAACACCTTTTTGATCAGGGGCACACAGCTTTTCACATAACTAAATATCTGGACTTAGTGGATGTTTCTGTCTCTCTCTTTTTTGCGGGTTTTCCGACGTGCTGGAGGATGGAGTCCTTTGATGTCCTTCTTGAGGTGTGGAACTTGCGCTGCAGGTCGAGGGTACGCGAGGCACAAACTTTAACTGGGTTTCTTTGCCGGAAAAATAAGAAAACGTGGGCTCGGACGAGCCAGGCAATTACAGAAATGCAGTATATATATGAGCAATATCACATGAGTAGCAGTGCGATATGGCTGTTTATCGGCACTGGTGGGAGGCGTGCATTGCATAACCCCACGCAGAGGAGACTCAGATCCCTTTATAAAATCAATACGGAATTTTATCTACGGACTGTACGTTACACTGGTCGATGCCCGATGGTTGAACCTAGGATCCAGGAGGAATAATGCATTTTTTGTCCAGGCCGCGTTACACTGGACCAGGTCTATACCCTCAAAATAGTGCTCCAAGAGTGCTCCAGCAAGAAGTCATACTTGTTTCCAGTGCAGGATGGACTCTAGCAGTGCTGCCCCTTGTCACCAATTCTGTTCATAATTTTTATGTACAGAATTTTAAGGCGTAGCCTTGGGGCTTGGGCTGGAGGGGGTCCGGTTCAGGGACCACAAGATTTCATCTCTGTTATTCGCAGATGATGTTGTTCTGTTGGCTTCATAAAACATGGATCTTTAGCATGCACTGGGGCGGTTTGCTGCAGAGAGTGACGTGCCTGGGATGAGAATCAGCACCTCCAAATTCGAGGCCATGGTGTTTAACCAGAAAAGGTGGTTTGCCATCTCCAGGTTAGAGAAAAGTTCTTACCCCAGGTGGAGGAGGTCAAGTATCTTGGAGTTTTGTTCACGAGTGAGGGAAGGATGGAACGTGAGATTAACAAGCGGATTGGTGCAGCTGCAGCAGTAATGTGGTCGATGTACCGGTCTGTTGTGGTAAAGAAGGAGCTGAGCCAAAAGGCAAAGCTCTTGACTTACCGGTCAATCTACATTCTAACTCTCACCTAAGGCCATGAGATTTGGGTCATCACCAAAAGGACAAGATCTCGGATACAAGCGGCCGAAATGAGTTTCCTTTCCTTCAAAGGGTGACAGGGCCCACTCTTATGGATAGGGTGAGAAAAGCTCTGACTTTCGGGAGGAGCTTGGAGTAGAGTCGCTGCTTCTCTACATCGAGAGAAGTCAGCTGAGGTGATTCGGGCATCTGTTTCCGATGCCTCCTGGACGCCTACTTAGGGAGGTGTTCCAGGCATGTCCCACTGGGAAGGGGCCTTGGGGAAGACCCAGGACACGCTGGAGGGACTGTGTCTCTCAGCTGACCTGAGAATTCCTTGGAATCCACCCAAAGGAGGTGGAGGAAGTGTCTGGGGAGAGGGTCTGGGGTTTTCTCCTAAGACTGCTGCCCCCACGACTCGGCCCCGGAAAAGCATATGAAAATGAATGAATGAACGAATTAATGTGTTTTTATGTATTAACTTATATAGTGTTTATTTTTCTTTTAGTAAATTTGCATTTCTTTTTGGCTAATTTATGCTTTTAAGTTACTGTAGGTCATTTTTGTTGTCTCTAAGATTTTATACAATTTATTAATTCTATACTTTTTTATATACTCATGTTCACTTACTTCATTTTCTCCACTTTGCTATGAGAGTCCATCAGAAGAGCAGAGAGTTTCTCTCCATCCAGATCTTTTAACTTATCTTCATTCAGATCCAGTTCTGTCAGTAATAATGGACTTATCCCCACAACTTTAGTGAGATGAGCACATGCTTCTTCTGCACCAGAACCGCTCAAAAACCTAAAGAAAAAAATAATATAACTGTAAATTTAAAGTGATCTACTTTAGAGACTTGCAGCAAGTAGGAGTTGTACAGACTAGTCGATTTTAATGCCATGAGGCTTTTTGATTGACATCAGCTAGTTGCACTAAACAGATCTCATTGTTTTTGACCTGAAGTACATGGCAGCTTTGCACACAAGAGTAGGTTCAGCGAATGAAACTGCCCTTGGATTATTGATATTAAAAGGGGCATCCCAAAAATCTGTTTCACTCAAAATTAAAATGCTTTGTGTCATTAAATACTTATCCTCATTTAATTCAATCTTCACTGCACAAATTAAGATAATTTATCAAATCAAAAAGCAATTACTTTATAAAAAAATTCTGAAATTCTGAAAGCAATAGTCCAGAGGTATGGTACCCACATCAGATCAGGGTGCACTCATAAACACACACAAACGGCACACTCTCAACTGACATAGAAGAGAAGCTAGGAGAACCAAGTTGTGTGTATTTACAGTTGTTTCGATGCGGAAAAGTAAACCATTGAAGAAACATGGAATGTTTTTGGTTCTTTTTTTGCACTAGTGAATGAATGGGGTTGGAACGACAAAGTTGAGTAAGTTTTTAGTCAATTATTTTAAATAAAACTTTCTTAGGCTGTAAAATATACATCTGAGCAGGACTCTGACGTGACAAGCCTTTGTCTTTCATACGTTATGTTGTTTTGAAATAACTTGCCATAAATGAGTGTTCTATGTGCTGACAACGTATACATTATTGAAGCACTAAAAATATTTGTTATTATTATATTCTTAGTAGAACATGATCAATGTGTTGACTGCATGTAATCTGCACTAAAATTAGTCAGCTAATTTTGAATTATGGAAATAAAGTGTTGGCAACGCACTTGTTTTACACTAAAATTATACACTGCTAATGTTGCATTGTTTTTACAACGTGAAATGAACTGCCAAACAGCATGTGTAGATATTTTTCCTGCAAATATATTGTAAATTGTGGCATTTTGCAAAACATTAGCATCTTGTGTCTTATTGAAAACATCACCCTCAACTAGATGACATTGACTCAACTTGATATTTTTTTATGTCGACTTTTAAGATCGTTTAGCCACCAGCAGCAAGAAAGACATTTGTTCTGTTGAAAGTACAATTATAATAAATATTTATTTTTACTCACCTGATGGTCAGTGTTTTACATCTGTACTGTGATAAATCAGTGAGCTCCTTCACTCCTGATTGTCCAGGATCATTTCCTCTGAGATCCAGCTCTATCAGGTGTGAAGGGTTTGATTTCAGAGCTGAAGCCAGAGCTTTATAACCTTCTTCACTGATACTGCAGTCTGACAAACTGTAAAACAAAAGCACTCATTATTCTTTGTTGGGTCACATATGGTTAAGTTCTGGCCTTATCAATTTTTGGTCTTAATACATATTTTACATTCAGTTACAATATTTCATGTTATATTCAAATGTGTGAAAATTAATTGACGATTGGCCATTTAATTATTTGAAAATATAGCAACGTTATGTGAAGCAGATGACCATTACACCTTCGGTGTGATTTATTTTCTAATAATTTCACAGACTGGAGTAAATTATTTCTCTCATACACAAGTATATTATTACACATATATACAAGTTAAACTTATAGTTAGGTCAGCTGAGCAATCTGAGGTGAACATGTACCTGTGATTTTAGATAAAGGGCCCTATCATACACCCGGCGCAATGTGGCGCAAGGCGCGACGCAATTGTTATTGACTACTTTCAGCTCGGCGCAAGAGTCGTTTTGACACTTTGCGCCACGCTGTTTAAATAGCAAATGTATTTGCTCTCATATGTTCACCCATAGGCGTTCTGGTCTAAAAAAGCAGGCCTGTTTTGGCTCGTTGCTATTTTGAGAAACTGCAATAGTCTGTTCTTCAGACCAGAACAAAGTCGGTCTATTGTCTGGCGCAGAGTGCGCCTGTCCAACACACTGTTTAATACACACAAGCAATTTGCAAATATCTTTACATATGAAAAACATATAAAATATTAAGGATATATATAGGATTTAATAAGGTTACATATAGGATATGAATATAAAGGATTAAAATATTACAAAACATATTATTTTCTAGCCTACATGAATTTAAAAACCACTGCCTTAATGCCTTCTTCATCTCGGGAGGCTTTTTCAGTTCATTCAATTTGCTTTTGTATAATGTTATTATCATTAGCAGTATTATTTATTATATCCATATGTATATTTGTTTTATTAAAAACAAGCTTAGATTTGTCCTCCTGTCAGGTTTTAGACCATATGGGGCACAGCATGTGTATTTGGATATAACTCAGGCTTTTGACCTCACTTCGTTATTATTGTTAATTTATTTGTTTGCTGAAAAATAAGAACTGAATTTAGAAATAGTTTTGAAACAAATAATTGCGCTAAACAAACGAAATTGATTATTTATAGACTAACTGATGTCTGTGTGTAAAGGTTTCCCTATCCACGAGAGCGAAAGTAAAAGTTAATAATTTATCTCTCATTCTCGCGCGGTAGATGCTCTGTTTAACTGTTTTCTTTCAAGAGAAATGCTTAGTTTTTCCACTTAGACTTACTTTATGTCATGTAAATAGCTAATGCACTTATGGCGCGACAAAACTGGCTCTTAAATGGGAGATGAGACTCTGATTGGTTTATTTCTCAAAACACACCTATAACTAATTAAGAAAATAAACTCAACCCTTTTAGACCATGCGACCAGCGCAAAGCGCATTTTTTCTTCCTTTTATTAGCAAAAATGCATTCTGACACGCCCTGAAAGCGTTTGCGCCCTGCGTTTTGCGCTTTGCGCATGGACCGCCAAAACAGAGCCCTAAGTGTTTTCTACTACTGATGTAAACCTGTGAATGTGAGTACAGAATAACTGTGTATAATATCACCCAGTAAATGAAAGTCTCTGCATCTGCCTAACAGCCTTTCACAGGTCCTTAAACCCAACCAGTGGCATGACTGATTCAGCCTGCTGTTTGTAAAGAGCCCCTATTATGGGTTTTTGAAAATGCCCTTCCATGTAGTGTGTAACACAGCTCTAAGTGAAGTGAAATATTCAGCTAAGGCTTAAATCTGTAAGTGAAGTCTTTAAAACTATTGATTCATCCATAAGAGAGTCGACTCACAGTGCTTCAAATGATTTGAAGGAGGGGAGGGGTAGTTTCAGAGGTGAGGTGTCTGAATAACACTGTTGAGAACTGGGTACTGTTTATTGTGTAGTTTGTAAGTTAACTACAATACAATGAAGCGTGTTTCGAGCGGCCGCTGCGATCGGATCCTAAACCAATGTTGGCGACTTGGGGTCTCACAGACCTTCCCAAAATGCTGAAGACAGGGAGTGGGTTATAAAAAAAATGTAATTAAATAAATTTATTTAAATAATAAAAAATTCAGTGCAAGACATTTCACTCTGAATGCTGCAGACCAATCGCAACAGGCTGTCATTGGTGCAATCAGTGTGGATAAGCTTCGCGTTAAGGAGGGGTTATGGAACAAATGAATCCCTGAACGATTCATATGGGAGTCGCTGGGAAAATTAGGTAAAAATAAATGCAGATTATGAGACCATGAAACTGCTTTTTGACCTTGCATGCATATTAGACTGTTGTTGGAGACCTTTACAACCAAAATAAGAGCCTTCTTATTGTATAATAGTGGCTCTTTAAAGATTCTTCTCAGGTTATTGTACTCAAACTGCTTTTTTGTGTAGGACTAATTTCTTACAAAGCCATTCCATTAGTTTTTATGTAATTTTTCCACTGTTGTAGTAGCTGAGAAACAACTTAAGAGCATTCAGTGTGGTGGTATAAAAACCTAATGCAATCAAAATTACCCTGGACCTACTTTAGCTTTGCATTCATCTAAAAATAACTGCACACCTCAAAATGTTCATCAGCAAATTATAATAAAACATTCAACAACTCCACAATATAAACAGATATAGGTGAAACTGTGGTGAAAATACAAACCTCAGTTTCTCCAATCCACACTGTTTATTTTCCAACAGCGGGCAGATCTTAGATATTCCTGAGTTTCCCAGTTTATTTCCACTCAGATTCAGCTCTTTTAGGTTTGAAGGGTTTAAAATAAATGCTGAAGTCAAAGCAGCACAATCTTCTTCTGTGATATTGGAAATATTCAGACTGCAGAAAAATAAAGCAAAGATGTGAAATAGTACAATATTTAAAGGACAAATGTACATGATTCAATGAATATTAAGCCCTTGAATTCTTTGAACAGCAAAAACAATGTTTATTTAGACTTTAAGCATTTACATTTAGCTTGCAAAATGCACAACAATATACAATACTCACGTCAGTGTACTGATTTTACAGTGTTTGTCCTGCAGCAGGACAGAAAGCTTCTTCACAGTTGTGTCTTGTAGTTGACGATCATTCAGATTCAGTTCTTTCAAGAGTAAAGGGTTTTTACCCACAATTCCTTTCACAAACTGACACACGTCATCTGCTGCAGAACTCAAAAACCTGCAGAACAGAAGGTCACATTAAATTCAGTGCACTACTAAATCTGATATAATGTAAAATAGAGTCTAACTCTACAGTGGAGAACAAAATTAGAGAACAGCCTATTATCAAATCTACTCAATTATCCTAAAGTCATGAGTTAGTTCTACTTGATGGTATCCTAATGGGAGTGAAGTTCATTGCACATGGAGTCCGAAATATCATGGAGTCATGAAATATCAGGATAACACTTTTATCCTTCATGTGATAAATTAAAATATTAATAATAATAATAATAATAATAATAATAATAATAATTATTATTATTATTATTATTCATATAAATGAATTTCTGTTCTTTGCATCTGTAGTAAACATTTTGAGAGGTGTTTGACTACTGAGAACCAAAAAGTGAAAGCCAAAATCTAAAAAGCGTCTGGGAAATGAATCCACTTCATCCAGCAGCACAGAGCACTTTGTGACAAATAAACTGTGAAATTTAAAGACTGTTGTGGATGTGTACTGGTGAATGCCTGGTGTACAACAATGTTTTCTTTAAAACTCTTTTGTTTATCTTTTTTTTTTATTGTTATCAATCTGTTCTCTAATATTGATCCACTGTATCTAGAAAGTACTTCCTAGATCCAGAAATTAAATTAAATGTTTTTATTGTTTCATCATAACTGACCTCAGTTTTGCTTTACACAGAGGATCCTGTAGTAACTCAGTGAGCTCCTTTACTCCTGATTGTCCAGGATCATTTCCTCTGAGATCCAGCTCTATCAGGTGTGAAGGGTTTGATTTCAGAGCAGAAGCCAGAGCTTTATAACCTTCTTCACTGATACTGCAGTCTGATAATCTGTAAAAATAAAAAAAGCATTGTTTATTAATTTTTTATTCCTACTAGGCTTATCTTTTTTTGACAAGCTGATTGGAGCCACCAAAACTAAGCCACCTTTACATATTTCATATTCAGTAACAGTATTTATTGCTGTTAAATATGTAAGAAATAACGTATGACAAGACATTTAATTATTAGACATTAAGGACACCATTCAGTATAAAGATATGGCAGTGTAATGCCATTAAAACCTGCAAGAACTATTATAGCTGTGTATTAATCTCAAAATAACTGCATATCTTAGAATGCTCATCAGCCCGTCAGAATGAAACAATTAACAGCTTCACAATATAAACAGATATAGGTGAAACTGTGGTGAAAATACAAACCTCAGTTTCTCCAATCCACATTGTTTATTTTCCAACAGCGGGCAGATCTTAGATATTCCTGAGTTTCCCAGTTTATTTCCACTCAGATTCAGCTCTTTTAGGTTTGAAGGGTTTAAAATAAATGCTGAAGTCAAAGCAGCACAATCTTCTTCTGTGATATTGGAAATATTCAGACTGCAGAGAAATAAAGCAAAGATGTGAAATAGTACAATATTTAAAGGACAAATGTACATGATTCAATGAATATTAAGCCCTTGAATTCTTTGAACAGCAAATATCAATGTTTATTTAGACTTTAAGCATTTACATTTAGCTTGCAAAATGCACAACAATATACAATACTCACGTCAGTGTACTGATTTTACAGTGTTTGTCCTGCAGCAGGACAGAAAGCTTCTTCACAGTTGTGTCTTGTAGTTGACGATCATTCAGATTCAGTTCTTTCAGGAGTAAAGGGTTTTTACCCACAATTCCTTTCACAAACTGACACACGTGATCTGCTGCAGAACTCAAAAACCTGCAGAACAGAAGGTCACATTAAATTCAGTGCACTACTAAATCTGATATAATGTAAAATAGAGTCTAACTCTACAGTGGAGAACAAAATTAGAGAACAGCCTATTATCAAATCTACTCAATTATCCTAAAGTCATGAGTTAGTTCTACTTGATGGTATCCTAATGGGAGTGAAGTTCATTGCACATGGAGTCCGAAATATCATGGAGTCATGAAATATCAGGATAACACTTTTATCCTTCATGTGATAAATTAAAATATTAATAATAATAATAATAATAATAATAATTATTATTATTATTATTATTATTATTCATATAAATGAATTTCTGTTCTTTGCATCTGTAGTAAACATTTTGAGAGGTGTTTGACTACTGAGAACCAAAAAGTGAAAGCCAAAATCTAAAAAGCGTCTGGGAAATGAATCCACTTCATCCAGCAGCACAGAGCACTTTGTGACAAATAAACTGTGAAATTTAAAGACTGTTGTGGATGTGTACTGGTGAATGCCTGGTGTACAACAATGTTTTCTTTAAAACTCTTTTGTTTATCTTTTTTTTTTATTGTTATCAATCTGTTCTCTAATATTGATCCACTGTATCTAGAAAGTACTTCCTAGATCCAGAAATTAAATTAAATGTTTTTATTGTTTCATCATAACTGACCTCAGTTTTGCTTTACACAGAGGATCCTGTAGTAACTCAGTGAGCTCCTTTACTCCTGATTGTCCAGGATCATTTCCTCTGAGATCCAGCTCTATCAGGTGTGAAGGGTTTGATTTCAGAGCTGAAGCCAGAGCTTTATAACCTTCTTCACTGATACTGCAGTCTGATAATCTGTAAAAATAAAAAAAGCATTGTTTATTAATTTTTTATTCCTACTAGGCTTATCTTTTTTTGACAAGCTGATTGGAGCCACCAAAACTAAGCCACCTTTACATATTTCATATTCAGTAACAGTATTTATTGCTGTTAAATATGTAAGAAATAACGTATGACAAGACATTTAATTATTAGACATTAAGGACACCATTCAGTAGGGGTGTCACGATTCTCCAAATTCTAGATTCGATTACATTTTCGATTCTTAAGTCACGATTCGGATCGATTTTCGATTATGAATAATTAATTAATTAATAACAAATTAATTTTTTGTAGCCTACAGTTTAAACTACCTGACCTGTATGGTCTTTGTTTTACCCATAAACAAAGCATACAGTAAATGAATAAAGGCAAGTTACACACATAATTACCACCTGTCAATCACTTTTTTCTTGTGAATAGGCAGTGATCTGTGTCGTTATTATGGCGTCGGTAAAAAAAGGTGCACAACCAACAGGAACCAGCCAACAGTATCTGAGGTGTTTGCTAAAATGACTAAGTACTAGTGTGAAAGTAAAAGATTGAAGCAGTCTTAACTAGGTTAATTAGGTTAACCAGGCAGGCTAGGGTAATTAGGCAAGTTATTGTATAACGATGGTTTGTTCAGGAGACAGTCTGAAAAACAATTAGCTTTATGGGCTAATAAATTTGACCTTAAAATGGTTCATAAAAAATTAAGAACTGCTTTTATTCTAGCCAAAAATAAAACAAATAAGACTTTGTTCAGAGGAAAAAATATTATCAGACATACTGTCAACATTACCTTGCTCTGTTAAACATCATTTAGGAAATATTTAAAAAAAGAAAAAAACAACGAAGGGGGGCTAATAATTCTGACTTCCACTGTATATATATTTACAGTAATTTTTTTAATGTTTTAGGAAAACTTATTCAGTTCATCAAGGCTACATTTATTAAATGTAAAAATGTTAAATTGTTTAATATTTATCAAAAATTTAAATAACTACTTTGTTATTGTATGTAGTTTCAAATAAAATTATTACTCCAGACATTATTGCTTTTATTACTATTACTGTTAATAAATATAATAATAATTAATATTAGTGATTTCTGAAGGATCATGTGACTGGAGTAATGAAGCTGAAATTTCATCTTTAAAATCACTGGAATAAATGAATAAATTAAATGATAAACTACTTTTGAACAGTTATTTTATAGTGCAACATTTCACAGTTTGTATTTATGATGAAATAACTGCAGCCTTGGTGAGCAAAAGAAACTTAGTTTAACATATTTAACAATCATACTGACCCCAAACTTTAGAGCAACCCACAAACATCCTCACCAAATATAAAGCAGAGGTCAGACTTTCTCATATATACAGAGCCTCATTTCAATTGTCAGGTTTTGTAAAAATCGATCTATTGAATTAATCAATCTATTAAAGAAACGTTGGCTAGAATTTTGCATTATAGGCTTAAATTATAAAGAGACATAGCATATAAACCGAGACTGCATCATTTCTTTCGAGCTGTCAGTGCGGAAATGAACAAAACAACAGGCCTAATACAACATTATACGATTAAAATATGGAAAAATTAACAGATAGTAATTTCGGTCAATTTTCCTGACGGATAAACCGAGATCAGGCTGGATAAACAGCTCTCGGTAATATTTCAGCATGCTTTCACTTTCGCATTTACCGGTAAGAATGACATCTCGCCCTGCTCATCTCTCTTCATATAGCCGTATATACCGCTATTACACGATCATAATACACTGTGATATAGCCTGGGTCGTTAGTTCGTTGCATTGTTTTGTTTTCTCACTACAATCGATCCGCTCAGCAGGGCAGAGACCATCTCATCCAGGCAATCTCAGACTGATTGATTTGGCGCGGATGCGAGCGCAACTGCTGGATATATGCCAAAAACCGCGCTAACGGGGGGAACGAGACAGATTCCGAAACAAACATCTATGTGTGAAAGCACCGTAAGATTGTATTTGCACACAATTGACAGACAGTCGCAGCACGCAGCTCTGTCTCAATCTGTCAGGCAACAAGGCAGCACTGTACACTGACCCGAGCGTCTCGCACGCTGGCTCCGGGCTATCGGGCAGTCCTGTCGAGCCCTGAAGGTTTAAGCTCTGTCCATGGGTCTCCTGCGTCTGCACAGTTTAACAAGCACTTGAACAAGCGTGTTTTTTTCCCGCTTGGCAAGCCAAGCTGACGTGACATGTGGGCGTGGCAGCATCGACGATTCTATTTTTTGATTCGATAATTGAAATCGAGCATAAATTTCGAAAGATATGGCAGTGTAATGCCATTAAAACCTGCAAGAACTATTATAGCTGTGTATTAATCTAAAAATAACTGCATATCTTAGAATGCTCATCAGCCCGTCAGAATGAAACATTTAACAGCTTCACAATATAAACAGATATAGGTGAAACTGTGGTGAAAATACAAACCTCAGTTTCTCCAATCCACATTGTTTATTTTCCAACAGCGGGCAGATCTTAGATATTCCTGAGTTTCCCAGTTTATTTTCACTCAGATTCAGCTCTTTTAGGTTTGAAGGGTTTAAAATAAATGCTGAAGTCAAAACAGCACAATCTTCTTCTGTGATATTGGAAATATTCAGACTGCAGAGAAATAAAGCAAAGATGTGAAATAGTACAATATTTAAAGGACAAATGTACATGATTCAATGAATATTAAGCCCTTGAATTCTTTGAACAGCAAAAACAATGTTTATTTAGACTTTAAGCATTTACATTTAGCTTGCAAAATGCACAACAATATACAATACTCACGTCAGTGTACTGATTTTACAGTGTTTGTCCTGCAGCAGGACAGAAAGCTTCTTCACAGTTGTGTCTTGTAGTTGACGATCATTCAGATTCAGTTTTTTCAAGAGTAAAGGGTTTTTACCCACAATTCCTTTCACAAACTGACACACGTCATCTGCTGCAGAACTCAAAAACCTGCAGAACAGAAGGTCACATTAAATTCAGTGCACTACTAAATCTGATATAATGTAAAATAGAGTCTAACTCTACAGTGGAGAACAAAATTAGTGAACAGCCTATTATAAAATCTACTCAATTATCCTAAAGTCATGAGTTAGTTCTACTTGATGATATCCTAATGGGAGTGAAGTTCATTGCACATGGAGTCTGAAATATCAGGATAATACTTTTATGCTTCATGTGATAAATTAAAATATTAATAATAATAATAATAATAATAATAATAATAATAATAATAATAATTATTATTATTATTATTATTATTCATATAAATGAATTTCTCTTCTTTGCATCTGTAGTAAACATTTTGAGAGGTGTTTGACTACTGAGAACCAAAAAGTGAAAGCCAAAATCTAAAAAGCGTCTGGGAAATGAATCCACTTCATCCAGCAGCACAGAGCACTTTGTGACAAATAAACTGTGAAATTTAAAGACTGTTGTGGATGTGTACTGGTGAATGCCTGGTGTACAACAATGTTTTCTTTAAAACTCTTTTGTTTATCGTTTTTTTTTTTTATTATTGTTATCAATCTGTTCTCTAATATTGATCCACTGTATCTAGAAAGTACTTCCTAGATCCAGAAATTAAATTAAATGTTTTTATTGTTTCATCATAACTGACCTCAGTTTTGCTTTACACAGAGGATCCTGTAGTAACTCAGTGAGCTCCTTTACTCCTGATTGTCCAGGATCATTTCCTCTGAGATCCAGCTCTATCAGGTGTGAAGGGTTTGATTTCAGAGCTGAAGCCAGAGCTTTATAACCTTCTTCACTGATACTGCAGTCTGATAATCTGTAAAAATAAAAAAAGCATTGTTTATTAATTTTTTATTCCTACTAGGCTTATCTTTTTTTGACAAGCTGATTGGAGCCACCAAAACCAAGCCACCTTTACATATTTCATATTCAGTAACAGTATTTATTGCTGTTAAATATGTAAGAAATAACGTATGACAAGACATTTAATTATTAGACATTAAGGACACCATTCAGTATAAAGATATGGCAGTGTAATGCCATTAAAACCTGCAAGAACTATTATAGCTGTGTATTAATCTCAAAATAACTGCATATCTTAGAATGCTCATCAGCCCGTCAGAATGAAACAATTAACAGCTTCACAATATAAACAGATATAGGTGAAACTGTGGTGAAAATACAAACCTCAGTTTCTCCAATCCACATTGTTTATTTTCCAACAGCGGGCAGATCTTAGATATTCCTGAGTTTCCCAGTTTATTTCCACTCAGATTCAGCTCTTTTAGGTTTGAAGGGTTTAAAATAAATGCTGAAGTCAAAGCAGCACAATCTTCTTCTGTGATATTGGAAATATTCAGACTGCAGAGAAATAAAGCAAAGATGTGAAATAGTACAATATTTAAAGGACAAATGTACATGATTCAATGAATATTAAGCCCTTGAATTCTTTGAACAGCAAATATCAATGTTTATTTAGACTTTAAGCATTTACATTTAGCTTGCAAAATGCACAACAATATACAATACTCACGTCAGTGTACTGATTTTACAGTGTTTGTCCTGCAGCAGGACAGAAAGCTTCTTCACAGTTGTGTCTTGTAGTTGACGATCATTCAGATTCAGTTCTTTCAGGAGTAAAGGGTTTTTACCCACAATTCCTTTCACAAACTGACACACGTGATCTGCTGCAGAACTCAAAAACCTGCAGAACAGAAGGTCACATTAAATTCAGTGCACTACTAAATCTGATATAATGTAAAATAGAGTCTAACTCTACAGTGGAGAACAAAATTAGAGAACAGCCTATTATCAAATCTACTCAATTATCCTAAAGTCATGAGTTAGTTCTACTTGATGGTATCCTAATGGGAGTGAAGTTCATTGCACATGGAGTCCGAAATATCATGGAGTCATGAAATATCAGGATAACACTTTTATCCTTCATGTGATAAATTAAAATATTAATAATAATAATAATAATAATAATAATTATTATTATTATTATTATTATTATTCATATAAATGAATTTCTGTTCTTTGCATCTGTAGTAAACATTTTGAGAGGTGTTTGACTACTGAGAACCAAAAAGTGAAAGCCAAAATCTAAAAAGCGTCTGGGAAATGAATCCACTTCATCCAGCAGCACAGAGCACTTTGTGACAAATAAACTGTGAAATTTAAAGACTGTTGTGGATGTGTACTGGTGAATGCCTGGTGTACAACAATGTTTTCTTTAAAACTCTTTTGTTTATCTTTTTTTTTTATTGTTATCAATCTGTTCTCTAATATTGATCCACTGTATCTAGAAAGTACTTCCTAGATCCAGAAATTAAATTAAATGTTTTTATTGTTTCATCATAACTGACCTCAGTTTTGCTTTACACAGAGGATCCTGTAGTAACTCAGTGAGCTCCTTTACTCCTGATTGTCCAGGATCATTTCCTCTGAGATCCAGCTCTATCAGGTGTGAAGGGTTTGATTTCAGAGCTGAAGCCAGAGCTTTATAACCTTCTTCACTGATACTGCAGTCTGATAATCTGTAAAAATAAAAAAAGCATTGTTTATTAATTTTTTATTCCTACTAGGCTTATCTTTTTTTGACAAGCTGATTGGAGCCACCAAAACTAAGCCACCTTTACATATTTCATATTCAGTAACAGTATTTATTGCTGTTAAATATGTAAGAAATAACGTATGACAAGACATTTAATTATTAGACATTAAGGACACCATTCAGTATAAAGATATGGCAGTGTAATGCCATTAAAACCTGCAAGAACTATTATAGCTGTGTATTAATCTCAAAATAACTGCATATCTTAGAATGCTCATCAGCCCGTCAGAATGAAACAATTAACAGCTTCACAATATAAACAGATATAGGTGAAACTGTGGTGAAAATACAAACCTCAGTTTCTCCAATCCACATTGTTTATTTTCCAACAGCGGGCAGAACTTAGATATTCCTGAGTTTCCCAGTTTATTTCCACTCAGATTCAGCTCTTTTAGGTTTGAAGGGTTTAAAATAAATGCTGAAGTCAAAACAGCACAATCTTCTTCTGTGATATTGGAAATATTCAGACTGCAGAGAAATAAAGCAAAGATGTGAAATAGTACAATATTTAAAGGACAAATGTACATGATTCAATGAATATTAAGCCCTTGAATTCTTTGAACAGCAAATATCAATGTTTATTTAGACTTTAAGCATTTACATTTAGCTTGCAAAATGCACAACAATATACAATACTCACGTCAGTGTACTGATTTTACAGTGTTTGTCCTGCAGCAGGACAGAAAGCTTCTTCACAGTTGTGTCTTGTAGTTGACGATCATTCAGATTCAGTTTTTTCAAGAGTAAAGGGTTTTTACCCACAATTCCTTTCACAAACTGACACACGTGATCTGCTGCAGAACTCAAAAACCTGCAGAACAGAAGGTCACATTAAATTCAGTGCACTACTAAATCTGATATAATGAAAAACAGCATCTAATTATACAATGGAGAACAAAATAAGAGAACAGCCTATAACTGACTAAATGATCAAATCTACTCAATTATCCTAAAGTTATGAGTTAGTTCTACTTGATTGTATCATAATGGGAGTAAGGTTCATTGCACATGGAGTCTAAAATATTCACGTTTAAAATAAATACAAAATCTCCTGTTTTGTCAATCGCATTTACACACTTCTGTACTTCATTGGAAAAAAAAGATTTTTTTTTTCAATTCTTTGCATCTTTAGTAGACATTTTGAGGGGTGTTTGACTATTGAGAACCATTGTACAAGTGAAAGCCAATATCTAATCTTTGAATAAATCTTTAAAAATTATACATTTTGCATTGTTTTTGTATTGTTATCAAACTGTACTCTGATTTTGTTGCACTATATCTCAAAAATACTTCCTAAATACAGAAATTAAATTAATTATAATAATATTTATTCATCATAACTGACCTCAGGTTTGCTTTACACAGAGGATCCTGTAGTAAATCAGTGAGCTCCTTCACTCCTGATTGTCCAGGATCATTTCCTCTGAGATCCAGCTCTATCAGGTGTGAAGGGTTTGATCTCAGAGCTGAAGCCAGAGCTTTATAACCTTCTTCACTGATACTGCAGTCTGACATTCTAGAATAAGATAAAAATATTTTATATGCTAAATGTTTACAAACTTCATATTGAACTTTGCTTATTTTAACCAAATTCAGACCTGAGTATCTGCAGTGTGCATTGTGAATTTTCCAACAGAGCAGAGATTTGTGTCACTCCAGAATCTCCTAACTGGTTCCTACTCAGATCCAGCTCTTTCACCTTTGAGGGGTTTAAATTAAACGCTGAAGCCAGAGCAGCACAACCTGCTTCTCCAATACTGACACCATTCAAACTACAGAAAAAAAATATCCAATCAACCAAATGCTGCAACTTTTTATTCACTATTGATATACTCTCATATTTATTGTCTATTTAGATTTGCTTACTTCAGCTTTTCCAGTCTACACTGTTGATTCTCAAACAAAGTTGAAAATATCTTCATTCCAGAGTCTCCAAGGTTAGTTTTACTCAAATCCAGGTCTTTCAGATTTGAAGGGTTTAAATTCAAGGCTGCTTTCAGTAAATGGCAGTCTTCTTCTGATATGTTGTTGCTATTCAGACTGCATAAAGAGCAAACCACATTTCAGTTTTTTATATGAAGGTATAAACAAATGTTCTTTACTACAATCAGTAATCAAGGATCAATTCAACATTAAACTGCACAAAATGTTATAGTAGAAAAATGTTTATTAGATTACCAAAATGTACTTCAGATTTTTATTATTTAATAATTTATATTTCCTCAAAATTCTACACAAAATACCCCATAATGTGAAAAAGATCTGTTGAAATTGTTGTAAATTTATTAAAAATAAAAAAACGGAAAAATCACATTTACATAAGTATTGACAGCCTTTGCCGTAAAGCTGTAAATTGAGCCCAGCTACATTCTGTTTCCACTGATCATTCTTGAGATGTTTCAGCAGCTTAATTTAAGTTAATCTGTGGTAAATTTAGTTGATTGGACATGATTTGAAAAGGCTAACACCTGTCTAAATAAGGTCCCAGGGTTGACACTGCATGTCTAAGCATGAACCAAGAATGAAGACAAAGAAATTGTCTGTAGAACTCCGGAAGAGGTTTGTTTTGAGGCACAAGGCTGGGGAAGGTTACAGAAAAATTTTTGCTGCTCGGAAATTTAAAATGTCCTAGTCAGGATAGAGGGAAAGATGAATGCAGCAATGTAGAGACATCCTGCCTTTACAAAAACTCGGTGAATGTCCATGAGTGGCTCCAGCCAGAGCCCAGACCTAAATCCCATTGAACATCTCTGGAGAGATTTAAAAATGGCTGTACACTGTCACTTCCCATCCAACCGGATAGAGCTTGAGAGGCACTGCAAAGAGGAGTGGGCAAAAATTCCCAAAGACAGGTGTGCCAAGCTTGTGGCATCATATTCAAAAAGACTTGAGGCTTTAATTGCTGCCAAAGGTGCATCAACAAAGTTTTGAGCAAAGTGTGTGAATACTTATGTTAGCTTTTTTATTTTTAATAAATTTGCAACAATTTCAAAAACTCTTTTTTTCACATTGTCATTATAGGGTATTTGTGTGTAGAATGTTGTGGAAATAAATTAATCCACTTTGGAATAAGGCTGTAACCAAAATAAAAATATATAAATAAATGGAAAAAGTGAAGCGCTATGAATACTTTCCGGATGCACTGTATGTGACAACTGATAACACAAAAATGCACAATTTAGTAACTCAATTATCAAACTTAAAAGAATTGTCATATTGGTGAGACTTACGTGAGTGTGTTTATTTTACAGTGTTTATCTGCCAGTAGAGGAGCAAGTTCCTTCAGTTTTGGGACTAGTTTATGTTCACTCAGATTCAGCTTTCTCAGCAGTAAAGGGTTTTCATTGAGAATATTAGTCAAATCTGTGAAGGCTTTCTGTGCATCAGGACCCAAAAATCTGCAGATGAGACATTAAAGAAAATTTAAATTAATTCACAAAAGCAGGTGTATGATGTATCTTATTGTAATTGTATTAGTGTGGAATAGTTTGTCCTGAATTCAATGTAATGGAACAGGTATAAAATAAATAAAATTTCTACAATCTAAAAAATATAGATGATTTGGGCCTTTTAGGTACTAACATATAGACTATAGGTACTAAAATGTAATTTTAAGGTACCAACATTGATTCTTTAATTACAAACATGTGCCTTTAGAAAGCGAAACAATGACAGCTTCCATACCATTGTTTTCTATGAGTGTATAAAAAAATGAAACTACATGCCATTGTGTATTAATACACAACATCTCACCTCAATTGTAAATTATGGTTTAGCTCCTGTCGGACATCAAGAAGCTCCTTCACTCCTGATTGTCCAGGATCATTTCCTCTGAGATCCAGCTCTATCAGGTGTGAAGGGTTTGATTTCAGAGCTGAAGCCAGAGCTTTATAACCATCTTCACTGATACTGCAGTCTGAAAGACTAGAGTAAATATTCCATTCTGCTAATTAATGGGATGTTCTACAAATATTAGAGGAAACAAATTGCGAATTTTGTTCCATGTACAAAATTTTGTTTCAAAACAATAACCCAGAGACGTTAAACATTATATCACCTGAGTTTCTCCAGTTTACTGTGCTTCAGTCCATCAGAGAGCAGCTTCACTCCTGAATCCTGCAGATTATTATTGCTCAGGTCAAGATCCTTCAGACTGCTGGAGTCTGATCTAAGAACTGAAGCAAGAGCTGAACAGCTTTCCTCTGTTAGATTACATTTACTGAGCCTGAAAACAAACACCAAGACTGAAGATTTACAGCTGAACCATTAAAACAGTACATCTGGTTAGGGAATCAGCAACCAAAATTCAGCGTCGATTTTTATCTGACCAATTTCAACTGGTCTGTTTTGTTTCACCCATAATGTATTTAAGTCATATTAAATGTTTTTCTTCCAAGGTTTCTTTTTTAAATGTTTGCTACATGAGTAAAAATATATTCAGAGAAAAAAACATCAGTCACATCGAATGATACTGACCACATTTTCAACACAGGAGATGCTGAATGAGTCCTAGAATGTCCAGCTACTATCCTAACACGTATAATATGTCAACAACTCACTGTGTTTCTGTGAATATAACATTGGCTGCAATTTAACAAAGACTAAAAACTTTAAGGGGGTCTGATTACTCTCCGTACCCACAGTATCAACAGTCTCCAAACAACACTTTATATTTTATTTTAAGCTTTAATCCAGCGAAGAGCAGCTTTACTCCTGGATGCTGCAGGTTTTTATTGTTCATGTCAAGACTCCTATCTGATCAGATAACTGTTGCCGAAACTGACTTAACTTGTCTGTTAAGTTACAACTAGTTAAACTACAAGGGAAAAATACATTACAGCACTAGGTGCAAGATACACAACACATTTTCATTTACATTGACTGACTTACAGAGCTCTTTTGCAGGTTTTGATGACTGCTGATAGTCTGATGAGACACTCGTCTGATTTCTTGAATTTCTGAAGCTCAAACTCCTCCATCTCCTCCTCTGATGTCAACAACACAAAGGCCAAAGCAGACCACTGGCCAGGTGAAAGGTCAGCAGATGAAAGACTTCCTGTGCTAAGGTGAGTCTGAATCTCTTTCACAAGAGTTTGGTCGTTCAGTTCATTCAGACAGTAGAACAGATTGATGGACCTCTCTGGAGAAAGATTTGCTTCAAACTTCTGCTTGATGTACTGAACTATTTCCTCTTTGATCTGGTCATTGTGGTCTTGCAGCTGATCTGCTGTTCTAAAGAAGTACTGACGTATTTTCCATATGTTCCATGTGTTACTGTGCTCTTGCGGTGTCAACAGGCCTCGTAAGAGTTGTTGATTGGACTGGAGAGACAGACCGAGAAGGAAGCGAAGGAAAAGGTCCAGATGTCCATTGTCACTCTTAAGTGCCTTGTCCACTGCAGTCTTGAGAAAATCAATCATGGACTCATTTTTGTTTCTAGAGTCTTGATCAAACACACTTTTCTTCAGAATCAGATGTGCATAAATGGCTGCAATAAACTCTTGAATGCTCAAGTGAACAAAGCAGTACATGGTACCAACAACAATCCCTGTTTCCTCCTTAAAGATCTGGGTACACATGCCTGAGTAAACTGAGGCCTTATGAACGTCAATACCACAGGCTTTCAGGTCTGTGTCATAGAAGATCAGGCTGCTGTTTTGCAGCTGATGAAATGCCAGTTTCCCCAGTGACAGGATGGCGTCTTTATCCCAGGACACATCTGTTGTGTATTCTCCTTCATACTTTCGTCTGCTCTGCTGGACCTGAAATCGCAGAAAGTGTGTGTACATCTGTGTCAGAGTCTTGGGAGTGTCTTCAGTGTTTGATTCCTGCAGTGTTTTGGAGGCGTCATCAGCCTGATTGTTTTTCACATCATTATTTCTCTTCTCCTGTAAAATGTTCTGGAGAACAGTGGCTGAAATCCAGCAGAAGACTGGGATGTGGCACATGATGAAGAGACTCTTTGATTGTTTAACATGATCAATGATTTCTTTGGCCTGATTCTCATCTGTCAGTCTTTTTCTGAAGTACTCCTCCTTTTGTGCATCATTGAATCCTCGTATCTCTGTCAGCCGGTCGATACAGTCAGGAGGAATCTTACTGGCAGCTGCTGGTCTGCTGGTGATCCAGATGAGAGCAGAAGGAAGCAGATTTCCCTTGATGAGGTTTGTCAGGAGAACATCCAGAGAGGCTGGTGACGAAACATCACGACACGTCTCATTATCAGCAAAGTTCAGAGGAAGACGACATTCATCCAATCCATCAAGGATGAACAGGACTTTGAATCGATTCCTTCTTGTAAGGTTCAGTCCTTTTGTTTCTGGGAAAAACTGAGTTATAAGCTCCATCAAACTGAGTTTTTCTTTCTTCTTTAGGTTCATCTCTCTGAATGGAAGAGGAAATATGAAGCTGATCTCTTGATTTTCTTTTCCTTCAGCCCAATCTAGAACAAACTTTTGCACAGAGACTGATTTCCCGATGCCAGCGACTCCTTTTGTCAGGACAGTTCTGATCTGCTTGTCTTGTTCAGATGCTTCAAACAAATATCTGCATTCAACCTGTATCTCTTGAGCTTTGTGACGTCTGGAAGTAACTTCAATCTGTCTGACCTCATGTTCAGTATTGACCTGTTCACTGCCACCGTGAGTGATATAGAGATCTGTGTAGATGTTCTTCAGGAGTGTGGAGTTTCCTTGCTGTGCAATTCCTTCAAACACACACTGATACTTCTTCTGTAGACCACATTTCAGCTGATGAATGAAGAACAGCTCATCTACACACAGAGGAATATACCTTTAATTTTCAGTGTTCTCTTAATATTTTATAATTGACATTATGGCAGTCTCTTACCTTCTAGAGTATCTGCTGCTTCATCTTGCTTCATTTCTCTCAGGAAGTAGAGTGTAAGATCAAGAACTGCTTCTCTGATGCTGCATCTGTTCTTATGAAAGTCCTTTACAAGGTATTGTGAGTTTCCTTTTTGTAAGATTTTCTTAAAATTTTCCAACTCTTTCTTCAGAAAGTTGAACATTTTGCTCTCAAGCCCCTACAAGCAAAATAAAAAGACAGAAAAATTAAAGAGACAGTTCAACCAACACTGAACAATCTGTCATCATTTACTTATTTTTAACCAGTTTGAGATTCTTAATTCTGTTGAACACAAAAGAAGATTTTTTTGATGAAAGTCGATGATTACTGGTTTCCAGCTTTCTTCAATTTATATTTTTTTGTGTTCAACCACAGTAAGATACTGGTGTTCAAATTAAGAAAAGGTCTGGAGCCTTTGAGGGAGAGTAAATAGTGAGTTTATTTTTTCATTTTTGTGTGAACTATCCCTTTAAGCCACACTGCACATCCATACTGATTCAGAACAATATATTCAATAATTAAAAACTTAGTTTAAAATGTTTATTTGCTGTTAATTTTAACAAACAAAAAAATAATTGGAATTGTCTACTTATATATAGAAAATGGTTTAACTCGTTGTTTTATTGGACCAGAGAAGATATTTTATTGATGATAGGTAACTTTGCCATTCCAATAATTCTGCTAACCCTAATCTAATATAGCTATACTACTCTAATATTCTAATAGGAGTCAGCTGAAACGCTGAATAAGTTTAAGGCTGAAGCCAGAATATGATTGTGCATTGTACTGTCTTTTAAATTTAGAAAAGAGCACTGCACTGTGCCTTTATGTTGCTAGGCAACCACTATATAATACATAGTTGACTCTTTTCCAACTGCAGGTGCTACATGTCAGGTGTGTCTGTGTTGTGTCTTGTCCTAGATGTTGTCATCATGTGTTAATGTCATGTGTTTCCTCATGTGCTGTGTTTTTGTTCCTCGTCCGGTATTGAATTGTCACCCCTCCATGTTCTGCCTGTGTTTTAAGTTCCAGTTGTAAGTGCGATTTTGTACATACGTGTTCTTGTGACAACACCGAGTCTCGTACGTCTGTGAGAGAGCCATTGTGAAATGCACGGAGCGCAGTGTCAAAAATGCGAAGACTAGCAGGTGGTAAGATTACATGATTTCATAAGCATAAGCTCGCTGCCTTACAATGTCTAATGTGGATGTAGGAGCCATTTTTTATGTTGTAGTGATTTATGTTGTCCACTAAGTGTCACTAGCTGAAAACTATAACTAAGGTGCCTGTGTAAGCGAGGAAGAGCGTCAGGTATGGGAAAGCACACGGTTTTTGACCGTGCTACAGAGTAACTTGTTTGCTAGCCAGAAAACAGCAGTGTTTAGATTTGTGCTGTGTGTACATGGAGTGAATGTTATATTGACATGATAAAGAAGAAAGGAGAAACAAAGATTGAGGCTTTGTTTAAATTCACCTGCACAAATAAAGACATTCTGCTTGAAAACAACTTTAGCATGCATGGACTCGGATTGCACGCGTGAAATACGTGCTCACCCCCATTTCTGGCGATAACAGCAATGGAAGGCTGTTATAGTGGACTATCAAACTAAAGTGTTTCCAAATAATTTTATAATATTATTCATACTTTAGTTGTAATTATAATTTAGTTATGAAAATTTAATTAGTAAACTAACTACTGTGTTTATTATAAATATTAATTATATGTTGTTTTGTATTATAAATACAAGCACATATGTACATTTCGTACCTGAAAGATGCACTGGAGGTCTTTGAAATTATTGCAGCTCCTTTGAGGATGGAGGTCAGATTCTAATGTCTTATATTGAAACCTGTGAGCAAATAAATAAAACACTGATTTGCAGTCTTATATGAAGTAATCACAGAAGAATATGTAACAGTGAGTGTGTGACCAAACTGTAGAAATGTATGAATTACATTTTATTTGATTTTGTTTTTGTCTCACTGAAGTTTGGCATGTCATCTTTTGACCGGTCACTCTTCACAGACACAGAGTTGGACACATGTGAGCCTGATCTTACACTGAAGACACAAATAACAGAAGAAAACAGATGTTTTACTACAGAAGAATCTTCAGCCAAATTTGACATCAGTTAATTTTGATAACATTAATTAAATTTAAGTTATTAAAGTATTTGCCCCTCTAATGACTATGACAGAACTTTTGCAAGCTTCACAGCATGATCCATTTTTTTTATTGTGAATGTATGTCTTATGTGTATTTTTATGACTGAAATAAAGATCAAAACCAAGTCAATAAAAGTTACCAGAAAATGTGTTGATTTTTTTCAATATAGCATTAACTAACCAGGTTCTAACAAACATACCACTGTTTGGGTAGAAATGCAATGTTATAATACACATGAAATGCCTTTTGGCGGTTTTCTTCTTACTAAAGTTTGCCATGCCACCTTTTGAAATTTCACTCTTAAAATTTAACAGACCTGAACACATGTGAACCTAATCTTACACTAAAGTCACAAAAATACCATGCATACTCTGGCTTGGGCAGAATAATATTATTAATGTGTTTGTGTGTTATTTGCATTTACTAACCACTAAACGTCCTTCAGGAAACCATAACACAACATCCTTAAGTTCTATACTTCCATTAAGCTTACTTAGTTTTGTTAAACATTCTTATTCAATCAGGTTTAAGCCCCTTTTAACCTTGAACAAAATAAAGTAATTATGGTATGTTTTGTTTTTTTAAAAGCATTTGACATGGCAATAATTAAAGGTTTTGATCTTTACCATGAACATTCTGGTTTTGAATTCAAGAGTTCAGTATAAGATGGTCCTGTGAGCAGCCAGTCTCACCTGTGTTTTTTTGAGGAACTCATCTTAAATGCAGTTCTTTCCCTCACTTCAATGACATATTGAACATCAATATAGTTTAATAATGTTTGTGTAGCCGGAGACAATCAGATGTTCATCACGAACTGATCATGCTAATGAGTTTCTGAAATGAAGATCATAACAAATGCAATTATACAAAAATCATTTAAATCCTAGTCTAATATACATTCAAATATGCTTAGTTAAACATTGAAGAAAAACAGTATGTTACTACACGTTTATTCAACAAAAGAGCAACATTAAAACTGGCCTAATAATCATTTCTAACGTACTGTATCGACCCCTCAAACCAAAAGAATTGGCCCAAATAAGCCTAAAACTATAGAGGAACTTCCGCCTGCACAGAGCACAGTAATCACAACACGATTATAACAACACAATTATCACATTATTACAACACAAATAAAACTTTTAGCTTTCTTTAGACAGTTTTAACACGGGCAGTTTAGACACTGACAGTTCTTTTGGATTCTTCCTTTTCTCGCGTTAATCTTTCCCAACAGGTGTAATCTGTAAACGCTTCACATTTAAAATATGCTAAAAATAGCCTATACGAAATAATTATAAATATACTTACAGTTGTACATAGACATGTGCAGCAGGAACAGAATCCACAAGTCTCTGAAACACTTTCGGTTTCTGTTGCAGGCTGTTGTACACACTTGAGGCTCTTTCAATAGTATTTCGATTGGTGTTTGTCAAATGACACGATTTCATCCAATAGCGCCGCCAACTGGATGCACAATGAGACTCCATTAACGACAGATCACAAACTGCACTAATAATTTTAACAATGTGCACACTTGTCACATTTTCCATGTTCATGCTTCCCAGTTTTGTGATTGTACATGTAATTTATTTTGTAGTTCAGTGTTGTTTGACCTATTATTTGTAATCTTAATAAAACTACATCTTTCTTCCCACCGTCATTTCCTTTTCATTTCCAACATTATTGAATCTGAAATAGATGTCTTATTTTAGACTTGCTGTTTAGTTTTTCCTTACTTTAATTAAAACAGATCCCTTGAGGTCTACGTAAAGCTATTTGCTGATATTTAATGCTTTGCTAGAAGATCATTTTCCTCAACACCTATGCGCTGGTAAAATGCTACTTAACCCAAATATCAAGTATTGTCAAGATTCAGAACACATAGTGAGTGCAGCCATATGTCCGTGTGTATGACAGAACTTGCTTGAATTGTTTTGCATCTGTAAAGCTATGATGGCTAATAATTCCGTATTAAAGACTACATGACAATTTTACAATACAATTTTTATTTTAAATGTAGGAATAGATACTGCTGCTGCTGTTCTTTCTGCCCCTGGTTCCTTAGACCAACTGTATAACTGTATTGTATTTTATCTTAAATGTGTGTCTTCACCATGAGAACCACCACCCCTAAATAATTAATTCTGCATCCTGGTGTCTCCCTCCTGAATAACTGTAATGAATAACCGTGTGTTACCATCAAACAAATGAAATTAATTTAAATTGAACAAGCCCCCATATGTTCAGTCTTGTTCACACAAATTTAGAGACACAATTAAGAAGCCTTAAAAGGTTTCTGTAAGCCTATTGGCTAAAATCTGTGTACTTTGTTGGTTTGACATGTTCACCAAGAGAGCCAATTAATGGCTTTTGCGCTAAAATTTTCTCTTTAATGAGGTTCTGGGAGTGTCAGACTCAATGTGTCAGTTCCTGCAGTGTGAGTTTATCTATGAGCGTCAAGCCATAGATATGTACACTAGATTTCACATAGAGGCCCTGAGCATACATCAATACCACTGCCATCTTGGTAGCGAATCAAATAAATGAATGAGTTTGTCCATAACTAGCAGGGTATATATCAACGAGCTGCCATAAGAAAACATTTCCATATATGATTCATTTTATATTTGTAGTAATGCGAGTGCTTACAGTTTATTGCTGATGAGTGAATATACGATACAGTAAATCAATAGAGATTAATGGGAATCAGGCTTCCTTGTCCTAAATACCCAGAATGCATTGTGTTGTAACAACACATTCCCATTGTTAACACGAGCACCGAATGTGATGGAGTCAGTGTAACTTCAAATCAGCACAGTATTATTGAGGCACACGGAGCAAAATTACAGCTACAGTTTGTTTAAATTGGGGATGGGCAAACTTGTTTCTTGAGGGCCGGTGTCCCTGCAGAGTTTTGCTCTGACATTAATCAGACACACCAGAACATGTTAATCAGTGTCTTCAAGATCACTAGAAAGTTGCAGGTGTTTGATTTGGCTTGCAAAACTATGCTGCACACTGGCCCTCCAGGATTGAGTTTGCCCATACCTGGTTTGGATCATGTCAGAACATAGGATAGTGAAAGTGAAACCAATAATATTAATTTAAAAAAAAAGAAATACAAGCTAATTTTCAGAATCAGAAGAATAAATCAATATGAATGTAAGTGAACAAATGCACAAGTGAAATTAGGATTCCCCCAGTCATAGAATAATCTGGACTATCATGGAAGTTTAAAGGTCTATTTCAGACATTGTAAGTCAAGGAATTTTATATTTGTTTTGTCTAAATCATAAAGTATCAGTTAATTTTAGTTTGTCATTTTGACTTTCCATTCATGTGTTTTTGTGTTGTTATGGTCATGGTTCATCCAACAACTTTTAACCTTGAAAAGTTTGAAACGGTGACTTTTATTAACATTTTTATTTGTTTTAATGTGATGTTTTGTCTGGTTGGTGTTGTATATTACATTACAAAAACCATGTAATAAACAGCCAGTACGTTTTCTGTTGTTTTAGAGACTTATTTCACTATTTATTATTTCTTATACATTATATTATTACAAACTACTAAAATGTCTAAAAAAAGCCACTTTGTTAAACTGTAGAGTTTAATTAAATTTTTAATAAAGCAGAGGTCAAGCTCCGATGACGCTATTCACAACTGTAAATAACTGGAAAATACATGTAAATCACAAAAGATGGAAACTGTTAATGGACTGATATTTTCTACAGCGTGCTCTACACAACAGCTGCCTGTTTTTCTGTTTGTAATAGAGTGTGGCAATTCAACATTTTAGTCGGTGAAAGTCAGGCTAAAGTCAGGGAATTTGATATTTGGCTTGGAATGGGAACACTGAAATGTTGTCAGTGATAGTGTATGGATGCCAAACTAAAAAGACATACACTGCATACACGTACAACTGCACAAGCAGCCTTGAACTTTCAGCAGCAAGTTTAAATAGGACCAGTGATAAGCATGAAGTGTGCTTATGTCACAGTCCACACATCACTACCTTCAATAAATAAATAAAAAGAAACCAAAACACCAAATCTAAAACAAACTAATTCTAACACTGATTAACATTACTTCATTCAACATGAACTTTATTTTTTATCAATTAACAGAATTTTTTTTTTGTTTTGCTCTAGTTGTTGTAATGTTTTGCTGTTGTTGTTTATATTGGTTAATCTATTAAATAAAAATAAAATATTTTTATTGTATTCATGTCAGTTTATACATTTCTAGAGTTTGTTTTGGAAAAACAAATATACAAAAAAAGCTGTCTTATGAAAATAAATTCTGAGCTAAATTTAATGATGACATTTACTAAACCATGCTAGGCATTTTCTTGGTCTCAAGGTAATTTATTTATTTATTTATTTATTTATTTATTTATTTATTTATTTATTTATTTATTTATTTATTTATTTATTTATTTAATTTATTTGTCTTTACACTGTTAAGAGAAACAGACTTTGTGGTGTAGATTAAAATGCAGTTCTCTGACAGATAAGTTTTTTTTTTCTCTCTCTTTTGGCTTGAAAATCAAACCCATCACATCTGAAAGAACTAAACATGAATAAACCAGAGATAGGAGATTGGTCTGTGAGTAATCATAAATTCTGATAATCAGGACACATGTTGATTACGTTTGATATATTCAGTACATACAGAAGTATTGAAAGTGGAGTTCATCTAATTTTAATCATTTTATTGTCATCTGTTCTGAATATGTGCTACTGTTTTTTTTTTTTTTTTTTTTGTCAGAGCAAATATTTTATACAATTTTTATTTAGATCTGCACTGTACATGCAACAAACAGATGCTAATGATGAGTAATATCCCTGAAGACAGGAATAAATATGATCTGAATCAATTGTAAAATAAATTAAACTGGCTGTAATTAGACAGCAGTTGTGCTGCGAAGATTAGTTCATCCAAAAAAAATAAAATGTACTAATTATTTACTGTTACCCAAGTGGTTTTAAACCTTTATGCATTTCTTACTTTTGTTAAACACAAAAAGAATGTTGGAAACCTGTAACCTTTGACAAAAACTATGGAAATCAAAGGTTCTAGCTTTCTTCAGAATATCAATATAAATTAAAGTGAACAAATATCTTCTGTGTTTAATTTATGCTTAGAAGAAAAAAAAATCATAAGAGTAAATGACAGAATTTTCAGTTTTGGGGAAACTTTGGTTTATTTATGGCTAGTTTATCCATGAACTATCCCTTTAGTATTTTTTTTATGTTAGAACAAATGGTTAAATGCAGTTCAATTTATTATTTGCTTAAAAGTAGGATTTAAAGTACAAAAGTTATCCAAAAAAATGTTATCCAAATTGTTCAGTGATATTTTTTACAGTAAAAAAAGTATTTAAAAAAAAAAACAAACTTTGTCTTATTATTCATAAGTTCTTTTAGTTCACAATAGCTGTTGGTGCCAAATTTGTGATCTGCCGTTAAAGGACTCGTGTGCCAGTTGGTGGCGCTAATGAACTAAAGCCGGTTTGATAAACTTTCATTTTATTCAAAATGGAATCGTGTCGTGTGAAAAAAAAAAAAAAAAAAAAAAAAAAAAAACATTCAGGAACCTCAGGTGTGTCAAATGCCACACAACCCGAAAGTGTTTTAGAGATTCTTCCTGCTAAACAAGACAAGACACAATACCTACTCATACTTGCACTAGTAGGTCTACACTAGTAGCATAATTATTTAAGGTAAGTGGATTGTCGCTTAGTCTATTTAAACGTATTTCAAATTTGAAGTGTTAAGTGACAGTTTACCTGTTGTGAAAGAAGAAAAATGAAACTTTTAGAATTCTAAAGAAACGTTTGAAAATTAATTTTAGTTTAGGTCTGTAAAAGTAAAAAGTAAAAAAATTATTTATTTATTTATTTATTTATTTATTTATTTATTTATTTATTTATTTATTTCATCGTAATGGGTGTCGTGATAATGTGCAGACAGAAGTTTCTCGATAGTATTTAGGCCAATGTGTGCAAACCGGTTTGAGGAGTTACGAAAGTTGTTTTTTTCCTAAACGTTCGGCAATTTAATTTAAGATGCGTATGTTAATGTGAAAATGATCCTCAATGTTTTGTTACATTTTTAATATCTGCATATTAGAGAGTGAGTGACTCAAATAATTGTATTAATTAGTAACATATACAAATTTTTTTGTCATGATTTTTCGTCTCAGAGACATGTTTCAGCTGATGAGCATCTAATTGTGTTCAGCAACACAAATATTTATGACCTGTTGATCTACAGAATGTCAGAGAAGCAAGGAAAAGACTCTCCGCTTGAGATGAGTCTTTCAGAGAAACACAGGTAAGACTTTGGCTGTTTGCACAGTAACAAACTACTGAAATTTCGAATTCAGAATTTGAATTCTCCCTTTTTAAAAATGCAATTGATAGACTTTCTTTCACTATTGCCAAGTCAATTCTGTTCAAAACATCCTTTGGTAATTTAATTTTGGTCTAGGTTAAAAGGGGCCTTAAATATGTTTTTGAATATACAAGAACATTTAGCAAAGCTAAATCAGTTTAATGTACAATGTATTTGGAAAGTTCTGTGCAGAATATACTGTAGTAACATTGTATTGTGTTTTTTACTGAAGAACATTTTACTGGTTTGTAAATGCAAATGACTTGCAAATTGTACTTTTACTTTTACTTATGTGCATGGTATACTAAAGAGTCTTTGTCTTCAGTGTAAGATCAGGTTCACATGTGTCCAGCTCTGTGTCTGTGAAGAGTGACTGGTCAAAAGGTAGCATACTCAACTTCAATGAGAAGAAAACATCCTCTGACAAAAGGTATTTCTCATGTTGTATAACACTGCATTTTTTTCTTCACAGTGGAATGCACTAGAACCTGATTAAAGATACTGAGAAATGAACACATTGTTTGGTAAACTTTACTAAACTCTGTCTTAATCTTTTTACTGAGAGAAAAACAAACATAAGGCAAACATTCACAATCAAAAATAAATCATGCATTGAAACTTGAAATTCTCTTTTAATAATTCGTTCAGTATCTCTCTATGGAAACCACCTCGAGCTTGACCAATCGCAACAGTTACATCACATCTGTTGGCTGACAGACCAATCACAGCAGTAATAAAAAGCACCTGCCTTAGACATACAAGTCACAACCAGCAATCTATACTCCATTCTCATTTTTTCTCTGTGAAGATCTATTTGGAAGCTATCCTCAGCAGATCATCATGGTCTCAAAACTGTTTCAATGTTTGAGTTGTTCTTACAGACGTCTCCGAACGGCTATTTTAAGGAACATTTTCACTGTCAAAGTATTTCTCTTTTTTCTTCTACTGTATATTCTGCATACCCATTAACCATTGCATCAAGGCGGCTTTTCATTTTTTTGTTTTTTCTTGAGAAGTTACAGATCCTGTTTTTTGGATATCAAGAAGCATGTTGTGGTGACCTCTATAACCTTTGGAAGTTCTCGTCCCTTATATGGTCACCACAGTTCTGAAAAAGGGAGAGAGACCTCTTGCTTGTGCGCATTCAATCAGATCCAACTCGAGAGTAGTTGGAAATGTTTGAAAGAGAACTAGGTTATATGCGTAACCCAGGTTTCAAGGATTTGTCACACTGTGGCGGTTTCCTCAGTGAGATACTGAACGAAGGTTATCAGACAACCTTCTGCAGTAAAATGTCTAGTTTTCTTTATTCTTTGTGTTTTCAGTGTATCAGGTTCACTTGTGTCCAGCTCTGTGTCTGTGAAGAGTGACTGGTCAAAAGGTAGCATACTCAACTTCAGCCAGACAAAAACATTATTAAATAAAAGGTATTTCTTGCATTTCTACAATTTGGTCATGCAATAACTGTTTAATAAAGTTTGTCCATAAGTACTTGGAATAGAATATAAGTAAATCAGTATTTAATTTATTTCCTAACAGGTTTCAAAATAGGATATTAGAATCAGGCTTCCAGCCTCAAAAGAGCCGCAGCAATTTCGAAGACAAACTCCAGTGGATCTTCCATGTAAGAAAACAAATTTACATAGGTTTTTGTATTTATAATAAACATTATATTAGTGTTTTGTGATATTACACAAAAAAATGTGGTCACACTATTTCAATGGTCCGTTTGTTTAATGTAAGTTACATTGTATCTACATGCCAACTAATTCTCATTAGATTATACGTAGACTGTTAGGTTGGGGTTATGGTTAGTGTAAGTTGACATGTACTTGCAAACTATTACCAAAAATGTTTTCTAATTCAATATGAAATAATTTATAACTACAAATAAATGATAAATTATATTACAACAGTTATTTGGCAACACTTTAGACATTTTAATTAACCTTGCAACTACATGTCAGCTTACTCTCGTTAGAATATTTTAGGAGTAGCACTGTTAGATTAAGGTTAGGTTTAAGATGTAATAATGAAGGCCTATCAGTTACTTATAAACATATACTGTAAGATACCAAACAAATAGTGTAAGTGGCTGAAGCAGAGGGGGGCACACAATAGCCCACATACCATTGGTGGCCCACTGAACACCTTCAGCCACCCCATGAGGGAGTTTTTAAAATGCTGCTTCTGAGTAAGGGTTTTGTTTCAGAATTAATAAGTTGATGCAATTCAAGTGAATGCCGTTTAAGAGTAGTATTGAATGCGATGGAGTTAGCGTCAACAGTAAAATTAGAACACAATTTTGGATATTAGAATGAACTTAATTGTTATTGAGTGAGATTAGTGAAGTAAAAAAAAAAAAAAGAAAGTTGACCCAATGTTTTGTGTTTTAGAAAGAATAGGCAAACACAAAATATTTATTAGATCTGGCGACTGCAGTACATGGGAGATGATCTTCACTTTCATGTTAATCAGACCACTCTGTCACCAGTCCTGCTGTGTGAATTGGTACACTATCATTCTGATACACAGTATCACCTTTAGAATACAATGTTTGAACTAGGGCTGTGCGATTTGGGAAAAATATCTATAGCGATTGTCTATATTTAAGCCTTTTACTGCTAAAAAGCTTAAAAGATATTAATTTATATTAGCAAACAACTCTGAAATTGTACTTTGCTGTTGCTTACTACTCGACTGAATGTCACTGACAGTACTTTTAGTAGTTGACATTTTAGCAAGGCGTAGGTTTGCACTTGACATTGGTGGGAACAAATGAATCAAACAACCCTCACCCCCAAAGAATGAATATTGTTTATGTGTGTAAAATGAAAGATAATAAATTAGTTTTTTTTTTTTTTAAATAGGTATGTTTTCATATTCGTTTATTATACATTTTTGTATTTTTTATAAAACTGTAATATAAAGCTTACAGTTTAATTGCACATTTGTAAATAAACACTTAATAGTTAAATAGTTTGGTAGGCAATTTGACAAAATGGTTTAAAATATATTTTAGAACATCAAAAAGTGTGGTTATGATAATCATTCGACAATCTAATCCAGTAAAAAAAAAAAAAAAAAAAAAAAAAACTTAAAAACGTCACTAAATCAGGCGAATAACTGCAAAAATAACCCATTCAAAAAGCTGGCTACAGGCCTGATAGTGTAATTGTAACGAAGCGTCTGACACAGAGGGATCCATTTGCAGTATATTTATTAAACAGTTTAATAACAAGCACACAGATGGTATGCATGTGCGAACTCGCATCAAACGCAGTAGTATCAAGTCGAAGGGCTGGCAGCAGGCAAACACAAGGTGAGCATTCAGGCATGGGTCAAAGGCAGGCGGCGAGGATCAAAGTCGGTATTCAGGCTAGGGTTCAGGACAGACAAGACAAGGTCGAGATACAGTCCAAGGTAATCAACGGCAAACCATGAGAAAGGGGGATGGCTGGGACCGAGTCGGTGACAGTAATGTTAAAAGAATTTTTATTAACTGATATAAAGAGAAAGTTTAATAAAGACTTCCGTTTATTTTAGCCATAGAGTAAATGATAGTCATATATGAGTATTAATAAAAGATGGAGCACAGGCTGTAGTTTTTCTGACAAACTGTTTCAACCGAAATTGCACATGCTACTCTGAGAGATCAGGAGAACTGGGTGATATACTTTTGCATTTAGCTGTTTATTCTGCAGTTTGTTTTCAGGGCATATTATTCACAGACTATATCAGCCTGCTATAATGACAGACTGTGCGTTGAAGCAGGGTAAATGGGAGCATTAACGCCATTATCATGATGGACTCATTCAGTAGCAAACTTGAGTTTATGGGACTTACACTTTTCATTGAAAAAAGCTATTTATGTCCTTTTTGTTGCCGCCATCCTCACCTGTGTGTGTCACACACCTTATTCTTGCATAAGAAAATCACCTGCGCTGTTTTGGCAGGTGCTTTTCTAATTGCGGTTACAGCCTCACATGACAGCAGGGAATGGCTCAGCCAATCACAGTGTTCATATGTGTTTCGGGGAGGTGGGACTCGAGGAGAGACGTAACCTTTTCTGCATGTGTAGGTTAATATTGACAACGCAATTTTTTTAAAAGCTAATTAAATTATTGGTGGGGACATTTCAATAGTTGGTCCCCCTCCGCATCCCCTCCGTCCATGCAAAATCTACGTCCCTGCTTTTTAGCAAGACGCTTCTCATGTAGCCGCCAGTGGTGCTTTTTTGGGTGCTTGCTGTTGTATTTCCTCTTGCTGTGGCAACAACTCTGTGTCAGCTCTTACAAATTACCTGTTTTTGTTCAGTGTCTGGGACTTTGAAACCAAGATATTCCCATGTTACTGACGTGCGTTTTTTCTTTGATAATAATTTGCCTATTAATGCTTCTGAAGTGGCAAATGCCATCATCCCACTCCTTTGCGCTTCCCTGTTTTTTATTGTGGCCATTCCGCATAGTTCTGTTGAGCAATTCTGATTGGGCAGAATGAAAGTGTGCTCACAATTGGCTAATAAGGCTGTCACACAGATGACTGTCACACACAGACGGCAGTCATGCATTTGCTCTGAGCGGAGAAAGTTAAATTATATATATATATATATATATATATATATATATATATATATATATATATATATATATATATATATATATATATATATATATATTCTTTAAATCCAGGATATTTTTTATTTAACTTTATGTCTATAAATAGTTCATAAATAAATAAAAAAAACATGCCAAAATGCAACATATTAACTTGACGTTGTCAAACATCTTAAATTAGTTAAAAAAAAACAATACATCATAAATATATGGAATAGTATATACAAAGATTGATTAATAATAATAAGATTCTGAGTTAGTTTTGGTAATCTTATATAGAGCAATTTTAGTTTAAAGAATGATAATTAATCCATATTAACAGAAATTATTGTGAGCCAAAGAAAGCAGGTAAAAAAAACACACCGATCATAATGATGTCATAATGAAAGGATGCTCACACACACAAAGTTAGGCCAATTAATAATCTGTTCAAAGAATGGCCAAAGCGAAAGCAACCGGTGCTGGAGCTCTTGAAAGCAGCAACTGTCTGGTGCCATGAGCATAAAGTTTTGTCTAGTCTATTTAAAAGAGAACTTATCACATCAGTTGCGTTTCCAGTCACAATTTCACGCAAGAAAAAGGGAGCGCGCACGTGTTTTAAACAGTCGCGCGCATCACAACAACTTTTGGGGCAAGTGATCATCCTCTCATTCGGTATTCACAGAAATTATTTAAGAATAAACTTGCAAAGGACATAAATGTAGCCTTGCAGACAGTTTTCTTGTGATGGGAAGGAGCGCAGGACAAAAGACAGTATTTCACTGGAACCCCGGGCCTTCTTCTTGACGCAGGATTATTTTATCTTGGTCCACTTTTGTAGCGTTTTTATCAAGGGCGTAGGTTTGCGCTTGATATTGGTGGGGACAGGGGACGGGTCACCCCCGCTAAGAATGAATATTGTTTATTTCTATATTTATATATATACATACATACATACATACATACATACATACACACACACACACACACACATATATATATATATATATATATATATATATATATATATATATATATATATATATATATATATATATATATATTGCTATTTATTATTTAACTGCTATTAAAATGTATTATTAAGTAATCCTATTTTCTTACAATTTATTAAGCTAAATTAAATAGTCATGCGCGTAGC